TCTGATTAAGTCATTACCAAGCTGGTTTTCTCCTATCAATACTTAATATTTTAGCTTTTATAATTCAGTATGTATATGTTCTCACTTTTTGGATTTAGTTAAAGCAAATATGGTTAAGTGTTTGGGGTGGTTTTTTTTGGTTTTTTTCACTGTTACTACTGTGGGACTTTTTTCCTTTTAGTAAGAATTTGAAGCAATACTTTTTAAATACCTTTAAAGCAATATCTTGTTTAATGTTGCTTATTAAGAGAATCTTAGCTCCCTGAAACACATCAATCTAAGGAAAAAATTATTTATAAATTCATTGTTCAATTTCTTTGCCTCAGAAACTCACTTTTCCTTTTTTATTGGAAATGATTTAATGAAATATCTTTCTTTGTATTATATACTTATTGTATACTTCTTTATATGTATGTTAGTCTAAAAAGTCACCTGGGGACAAGGATGGAATGTTGGAATTTGTAACATTTTGTTCCCCGTTTTTTTTAAGGAACCTTTATATTTGAGATTTGGTAGCTCAGTTTGCAGTTCCTGAAAACAGTTAAGGTGCTTTTTTCTGTCTAACAGGTTTAGTAAGTTAGCTGTACTGCTGACTCAGGTTGTGTGAGTGTGGTAGTAATGAAAGGAAATATATCCTTAAATCCCCTCTTCTGCCTTTTCATTCCCCAAAAGCTATTTCTTTCATACGCTTTTTCTGAGTTTACTCTTCCCCACCCCAATGGCCCAGGTTATATGTGGCTTTCTTCTCAGGTAGCAGTAATTTAAACACACAACTTCTGCAATTGAAAACATGGTAGATTCCTTCAGCAGAATCTGGCTTACATTTGCTTGCAAATTAGAAACTCACTTGACAAATTTCACATGGAATGTAGACAGTTAGTGGGCAGCAACCCTCTCCTGCTTGTAAATGACTGCTGAATGCACTGATGAGAAAATTCTTATGTCACACCTGAACCCAGTAGGCAGATTCTCTCACATAGTAGCAGCAAAGTACTTTGATGCAAAGGAGCTTGGATGTTCTTTTAGACCAAGTCAAAGTTTGTGTGTCCAGGTGAAAATGTCAGCACTGGTGTGCCTTGGTTGGATGCAGAGTATGTGACTGTTGATGAATCCAAGCTCCAAATGCATGAACTGTAAAGTACAGCTGGCAAAAAGGCTGCTTGATCACTCTAACCATTACTTTCCATGCCATTTTTTAGAAAAATGTGTTGACTAACTTACGTCACAATGTGTCACTGGTACTTTCAAGCTTTAATTAGCTGTGTTCTGTTATTTTTACTCTCTGGTGTGGGAAGTACTGCTGCCTCTGCCTTAAAAAGAACTTTTATGTTATGTGGCTAGAACGTGAGGTCATTTGTCATCATTTTTAACCATTTTTAACTGGATAGAAATTAGTTCCATTGCTATCACTTTTAAGCAAGTAGCCAAACTCCAGTGTTACATTAAGCTTTTAAATGTTGTCATCTTTCTGTCATTCAGTGAAAATTCCTGTTTTGCAGGAAAGCAGTGTTATTCTGTAAACAAAGTAAAACCACCCAGTCTCTTAAATTGTTGTACAGTGCTGTTTCAGCAAACAAAATATAGATATTCTTTATTATATCGTCTCTCAGCTTTCAACTTTTCAATTCATAGATACTACTGCTGCTTTAGACATGCTATACTCCTGCTTTTTAGGAAGTCCCTGGGAAACATAATGATTTTTTTAATGACTTGGCCTGTCAAACCATCATGAAAGAAAACATAACTTCTAAAACTTTGCTAATTCACCGGTCTGGATTGTGTTTTATCCAGCAGCATCTGTGTTGACAAGATTGAGGTAGCTGTGATTATTACAGACAGAAAAACAAAGGTCCCAAAAAAACCCAAGAACCAAACAGCTGTAACTGACGTTGGTACTTCCCTGCTATAGAAACACTGCTGCAGTTCTGCTAAAATCCAGTGCCTCCTTACTGTCTGATGGTGTTTCCCAATGTGTTCAGTTTTTGTTGTGAAGCATCAGTGTTGACACAGATATTCAAAGAAGCAGCTAAAGCCACCAGTTGAGAAGCTTAGAATTTCCTGCTTATAGAATCTACTTCAAGGAGCATCAGGCTTTGCTCAAAATACTGGCTTTTGGGTAATCCTCTATTGGACTGCCCTGCAGATATCCAGTGCACTGTTTGAATCTGCCTAGCCAGCATTGCTCAACTCGATTGTTTCCTTCCTCTTTTTTAATGCTGTTTTTCTCAGCCAAAAAATCATTTCGAAATTTCTTTAATTGCTCTGTATGTATAAATAGAAGCACTCTCCTTAGTGTATTTCCATGACACAAGAGAGGCTTCACACTGTGACAAAGGGTTGCTGTTCCAAAAGAAATGCAGAGGCAATATTTGCTTTCTCAGAACTTACCAACATTCATAAAACATGCAATGTAGTAAACTACTGCTGGTAAAGACTGCAAAGCCAACGAAGTCATGACTGGGGAGAAAAAACCCACAGCTTTATTGCTGTCAGTAAGTGGAAGGGATCCAAACAGGAGAATTTCTGTCTGTCCAGATGAACATTTAACCTGTATTTATGGTTTTAAAATAAATGCTAGTTCTCTGTTTTTAAGAAGTTGCAAGTTGTACTTGAAACATGGCTTAAGCTCCATTGTTGTCCCAGGAAAAGAATTTTTTACGCAAATGTCTTAGGTAGTATATAACCAATTTTTTCAGAAAATCCTGTAGTTAGCTGATTGAAATATAGACTAATCTCACTTTGTCTCATTATTGGGGTCCTCATGGCTTGTTTGTAACTAAGATTAATCTGCTATGAAGTTACAGCCTTTTTCAGAGTCTAATTTTCAATACCAGGTAGTGCAATTTTTTCTCTACATGCTCCTTTTGCATGGGGTGCTTCAAAGTCTTCAAACCCATTAGATAACCACTCCATAACTCATCCTCCCTGGCTGTGCTGCTTGGATCATGGCTGGCTGACTTGGCAGTTAGCAGGAGAAAATGTCTGGCTGGTGGTGTGATTTTATGAGTTGATGGTGTCATTACTGCTGCCTTTACCCTCTCTGCTCTTTTCCTCTTTTGCTTTACACTTCTGTAGTAAAATTCTGGGCTGTAAAGGGTATGGGCATGTGTAAGTAAGGTAGGGTAGTGAAATAAAAAGTAAGGTTTAGCATGTTAAGGACACCTGCTAATAAGTACAATTTACAGTAGCCCAAATCAGGAGCAAGTCTTACCAGTAAGATGGTCTTGGTAGAGGAGTACAGATCCATCTGTGCCTTAATTTACTGCTGTTTGGCAAAGTTTTCTTTGCCACATGCATATTTAGTGTAACTGTGATGCATAAGTTTAACTGGTGTGTTTATGAGTAGCATATTTCTTACCAGCTGCAAAATGCTCTTGCTTAACTTTCAATTTACTGAAAGAATATGTTTTTGTTGTAAGAAAGTGAAGATCCTGGCAATGTGCACTCACAGCCCAAAAATGCAACCATACTCAGGGCTGCATCAAAAGCAGGTTGGTCAGCAGGTCAAGGGAGGTGACTGTCCCCTTGTACTCCACYCTTGTGAGACCCCACCAGGACTCTTGTATCCAGCTCTGGGTCCCCTGCCTAACAAGGATGTGGAYTGAGTCCRGAGGAGGGATACAAAAATGGTCAGATGGCTGGAGCACTTTTCCTATAAAGACAAGCTGGGAGAATTGAGATTGTTYAGCTGGAGAAGAKAAGGCTTCAGGRAGACCTTATRGTGCTTTCCAGCACCTAAAGAGGGCTGATGAGAAATGGAGACGAAATTTTTACAAGGGCTTGTAGTGATGGGACAAGGGGAAATGACCTGAAATGATAAGAGGATAGGTTTAGATKAGATGTTCAGAAGAAATTCTTTCCCGGGAAGGTGGTGAGGCACTGAACAGGTGCCCAGGAACATTGTGATTGTCCCTGGAACTATTTACAGCTGTGCTAGATGGGGCTTGAGCATCTAGCACTGGAATGTGTTCCAGCCCATGGCAAAAGGGTTGGAACTAGATGGTCTTTCCAGGTCCCTTCCAACCCAAATTATTTTGTGATTCTGTGACCTGTAATGGCCTTTATATAGACTTGAAACCCTTTCCTGTAAAATGTCATATTTTCTATTTGGCCTTAACTGAATTTTCACTTTCATAGCAGCAGTGCAGTAGATTTGTTCAAAGGCACTGAAGAAATAAGAGCAAGAGATTTTTGATACTTCCTCATTAGAGTCAATGAGAGGAGGTTGATTTGACTGTAATATTAGTGCCTCTTTTATTTTTAGGGTTTTTTCCCAGCTCTTTGAAAGACACAACTACTCACCAAAGGCTTGTTTTCTGTCTTCCACTCTGAAAACATATCTGTGTAATCCCTTCACAAAGCCTTTTATTGTCAAACATGTAGATCATATTGCAGACACCCTTTCATTGTCAGCTGAATTTAATTATCCCAGTAACACATCTTGTTTTCTTCCTTTTTCTATGAATTGTGTGCAAGACAATGATAACTTACTTTAAATAAGTGCTTAAAAGAATAGAAAGAGAAGTCTAACAGCCTTTAGTGGGCCAACAGATCAGTTCTGTGCTAAGTTTCTTGCTGTGTTAATCCCCAGATTCTAAAGTGTGTGCTTAGAGTGATTTAGCATTACTAATGATTTCTCTTGTTTTTCTGTTGTGATTTGCGCTTACTTTCTTCTTAATTTTGGAGGGTACTTTTGGTTTCATTGTTTGATACTAAATTCTTATAGTAAATAGATTTATTAATGAAATATTTCTGTCTCTTCACTCAATAGCTAGAGATGATTGCCATGGAAAATCCTGCAGACTTGAAGAAGCAATTGTATGTTGAATTTGAAGGAGAGCAAGGGGTAGATGAAGGAGGTGTTTCCAAAGAATTTTTTCAACTGGTTGTGGAAGAAATCTTCAATCCAGATATTGGTATGTGTTCTAATAATTTACTAATCTAACAGATTTTTCTCACAAAAGGTAGGCCTGGGTGATCTTCCAAACTGCACTGTTCTGTGTTTATGCATTGCCTTTCTATGTCCACTGCTGCTTCTCTCTGAAGCTCTCCAGATTCACTGATGATCAGGAGAGTGTTTGACGCACATTGAGGCTCACCGTGTCATCAGCAGTCATCCTCCTAAAGGAGGAATGATGGAAGGGATAACTCTGCAGTAGAGTTAGTGAGAACTATCATTGCTTGTTTGGATACAAATCAGGAGTACAGGGTTTCTTTGCAAGGTTCATTTATTTGTTCTCTCACCTTTCTCCTCACTTTGCTTTGTGACTAGCTTCTAGAATTAGTGATCAAACCAAAGAGGAAGAGCTTCTGCAATTTAGCAAGAAAAGAGTAGGACTTTGGTGAGTTTTGAGTTGTTTCCACCCCTTCCTCCAGCTTAATAAATCTGATAGTCTCAGATCTACAGACCCAAAGTGTTACAGTAATGTCAAATTTGATTACAATTAAAAGAACCAAGAGTAATTTGATATAATAGAGCCAAAATTTTACACTTGTGTTTCAGCAGTCATATTTCCATCATATTCTTTTTTCCCTTGCTCCCTGCACCAATCATTTATGCAAGGACCTGCTTCTTTTAGTAAGCAGCTTGTCTGCTACTCTGAAAAGATGAAAATGTTATAAAATCATAAGAATACTTCGTGTTAGAATAGAAATGAGACCTGCCAGGTTCCTATATAATTTCATATTTTATGTGAAATATGATGTTACATTGTACTTCCTGTAATGGCGTCCATTAAAAAAGTCTAACATCTCATGGCTGTTATTTGGGTTTCACTGGACTATTTTAAAAAAAGAAAGCTGCTGTTCTTGGTTTTGTAGCTTAGAAAATTGATGAAAATTAACTGAAATCTATTTTGACCAGCTTAGAGAGGGAGGTATCAGTATCAATTACCTAGAATCAGTAACAAAAATCTGAACTTTGGTACTTGCCCTTCCCATATGCAAGCCAGTTCTTATAACAAGTGGTACACAACCATAGACAAGTCTTACTGACTGAAAAATTATATTAACTTGGAGAGATTAGGATTCTGATTTAGCTTACTTTGAAGTATAAATATTAAATAAAGTATAAATATTAAAATAAAGAAATCTTAGTACTTTGATGATGAAATTGTAGTTTCAATGCAAAATGAATACATTCTCAGCTTGAGTTTATCTAAACAGAAGTTGTGTGGCTGTATTGAAATACTCTTTTTTTTAATAATGCCCAAGCTAAGATCCAAGCAATGTGTATATACTCGCTGTGTTTAAAGATAGGTAATAGATTGGATGTTCATAAGTTTTTAATTTTATTTCTGTATTACAAATGCAAAAAAGTATGTACATATTTTGTATTCATAGTAACTTTGGGAGGGGGGGAAGCTTTTTATTGGCTTTTGGCATAAATGTGTAAAAGCAGGAAATGTAGCTTGCATTCAGTGTACATATATATTATATATATATATATATACATAGATATGTATATACATTTCAGTGTAGCAGTTTATGTATGCACCAGATATACCAAGTGTGACTTTTGTTGATTTATAAATGCCTTCTTTACTTGAGAAAATAAAGATCTTTTAAATAAAATTTAAAATGTCTGTCCTCTAATAGGTATATTTAAGAGATGTATATTGTTTTTACAGTTTCTTTGACTTTTTGAGTATTTCCATATTAAACCACCTTAAATTTTTACTCAAAGGAGGCAATAACTCAGAAAAAATACTGGATTTATGACCAACAGTCACAATGGTAAAAGGGAAGAAGCAATAACTTTATATGATATCTTTAGCAACACTATGCAGTTGTTTTCCCCTTCTTGCAGATTCCAGTTTTTTCTGGTGTTTCATTATGATTTTAATGTACTGTAGTCTTTATTTAGGTAAGGGTGTAAAATACTGTGTTTCACCTTAAAGTGTTTCCAGATGTGGATCTGGGTAAGATGATAATCCTTCATTTTTAGACATTTGCTGTAGTTGTTTTAAAGTTTAACTTCTCTGTCATATTCCAGAAAGTACAAGTCACTGCTTTTATGTATCAGTAATCCAGAAGTTACTTGAGTTAGTTCAGAAATTGGAATATAGGATTCTGTGTAATGTGCCTCCTGTGTATGCCTGAGTTGCTCATCCATTTCTGATTTCCAGTTGCCTTATCTGATGGGCCAGTCTGTTACTTGTGTGYTTCTCTAATGGCTGAYCCAGCCCTGGTCACCCACTGAGATRCATAATCTATTCTGGGGAATAGCCAGAGTCTCTGAATGAGCTTGCAGTTCATTTCCTTACCTGGAATGAGAGAACAGTCTTTATCTCTTGACAGAAGATGATGCTTTTGGTCTTTAGAGTAGTTTTGTGGCTCTGTTTGTGTGGCTTTGTAATCAGTTTGTAGATCTGCATAGGCTGTAAACAAGCACATCTTTTAAGAACTGACAAGAGAAATCCTTGAGGCAAATGTAGTTGATATTTTTGACCATGTGGACCTGACTTCTGGTGTGTTGAGAGTAAGGAGCCTAGGGCACTTGCACTTCTCAGGCTGTGCCTGAAATTCATGGGACTTAGCTGTCCAAGTAACAGGTGACTGGGAACACTTGTCCAGGGTGTTCTGTCTCCCACCTTAAGTCTATAGGATCATTTATCTTGCTTCCGTATCTAGTCAGGTAAGCAATAGATTTTATTGTGGGTTTCATTTAAATAATTTATAGCCTGTACACAAATTCCAGTTTCATAAACAAGAACTATCTTGTGTCTTGCTACAGCCAGAAGGGTACTTTTAGTGATTATGTGAGTAACAGTGTTTTGAGCAGCTCCAATCACCCTAAGGTAAATAGATTCTCTTTGCCATTCAATTCAGTATGATATTAAGTTAAATGTATTTTCAGGACAAGTGCAAATGGGTTTATAATGGTATGTTTTATGTGCCACTTTTATTGGATGGTAGCCATAATTGCTCAACTTTTTTTTTCCAACAGGGATGTTCACATATGATGAGTCTACAAAACTGTTTTGGTTTAATCCGTCCTCCTTTGAAACTGAGGGTCAGTTTACCCTGATTGGCATAGTACTGGGACTGGCTATTTACAACAACTGTATACTGGATGTACATTTTCCCATGGTTGTCTACAGGAAGCTAATGGGCAAAAAAGGAACTTTCCGTGATCTGGCAGACTCTCATCCTGTAAGTTCATTGTGTTCTTTGAGTTTAATAATGTATTTCCCATGCAGTAATTTAATCTGTATTTAAATTAAACATAAGATCGCTGTCAGAAGTGAAAGTGAAATAACCAGTGACTTGTGTGAAGAGTCTAGATTTGTTAAATTAATAAGCAATAAAACTTCTTGCTACATTTGGTTTGGAGGAGGCAGAATTGTAAAKGCAGTGAATAGGGCTCAGTGTCAATAAAGCTTTTTTTTTATTTTTTACTGCACGAATTGGTAAATATTAGTAAGCATTATTAATCATAAATAAGTATGTCTCTTCCTGAAGAGACTTCTAAAATTAGGCTGTTTATAGCTGTTTATAGGAGTAAATTTCTACCAAAAAAGTGAAACTAACAGTAAACATGCAAAGGTGTGATGCTCTTACTTGTCTAAAGCAAAAGATAGATGAGGCAGTTCATGAATATCCCTACAGTTAATGAATGTCCCTATCAGAGCAGTGATCAGTGTCTGTCTTCCTAAACTCATTCCCAGCCAGTGGCTGTGCACAAGCACTGAGCTGTACAAGTACTTCAGTAGACAGAGCACACAAGTGTGTGTGCAGGATGTCAATCATAGATCACCAGTGGCTTCCCCTCATGTTGCTAGTAGGAGTTGTCAGCAAGCTTCATTTTGTTTCAGACACTGGGACACATCCCTTTCATAAGCAATTATGCAAAATCTTCATCTGTTAAAAAAAAATAGTAAAATAATACTGTCTAAAAAGAACTGGGCTTTCATTTTTGAAATGAAATATGAAAATGAATAATCAAGTAATACATTTTCTGGTCTACTTTCGATGGCCTACGTACAACAGCATGCCAGATTCAACCAGTTTCATTGTATAATCATGTAGAGAAACTATGCCCCAAGTTTCCTCTAACTTTCATACATATTCAGAGTTTCTTGTGACAAAAAGAGTGGATGTAGTTCTATGGAACAAGTCTGTCAGGCATTCTCATGTGACTTAAAAATTTCTCAAATCCAAAATGAAATTCATAGTAGTCAAGCCTCCCAATACTTTTTCTAATGCTGTCAAAGATAGAGAATAGGATGTTCACCAGCCCTCACCATCACTGGTTCCAAGTGCAGTGATTTTCAGTGCAAAGTCCTTTTTAAAGGTCCTGGGGAAGAAACAAAAAGACACAGAAGCTTACGTGTAAACTTACAGGTTTCAGTGAAAACACTGAAGGGAAATTTATTTTTTCCACTTCACTAGAAAAATACAGTTGCACACAGTTGTCACTTTTACCTTCGCTTTGCATTCTATAGCCCCTACACCTCTTACCTCCTTTTCTGCATAGTCTTTGGTTTCTGAGAGAATCTTGGGCTTTTCCTAAGGCATAGCAGGGAGGAAGGCTGGTTGTGCCTTAGAATAGAGCAAACTGACAGGTAATTTCAGGTTCCACTTGGTAAATTCTGGCCTAATTCATGATTTATTTTTTTTTGTTCATAAATGTCTTCTTACATTAAAGACTGTGTTACTTCAGGATTACTTCCTAGTTGGTTTGAGATTTAAATAAGACATAGAAGATTAAAACCTGCTGTCTGAGGTTTATCTGATACAAAATATAGGGGTTTCTTTGATTTTTAATTCATAAATGTTCGTCTTACTAGTGTAACATAGTCTGTGTGCCTAAAGTAAAGACAGATTCAAAAGACTTAAAAGAAAAAGAGATTATTAAAAGGCTCTTAAACTACAGGTTTGATAATTGCATTTAGGAAGATAGGTACTAAAAGGGTCTTTTTTTAAAAGGGAGTTATCACTGATTGCCATGTTTCCTTTTTATCTTAAAACGTTATCCTGTTTCTCTTTGCAAATACTGAGCTTAATAAACTATTGTTTGGACTGCTATGGGAGATTTTTTAGGCGACACATATAGAATATAACAACCTTTTTTCAAGACAGGTGGTTTCATGTCTTCTTGTATTACTCAGTGAAATCTATCAAAGCTTATTTTTGACAGACATGTATTTCTTATTCTGTTAGGTTCTCTACCAGAGTTTGAGAGACTTACTAGAGTATGAAGGAAGTGTGGAAGATGATATGATGATAACGTTTCAAATATCTCACACGGATCTCTTTGGCAATCCAATGATGCATGATTTAAAGGAAAACGGTGATAAAATTCCTATTACGAATGAAAATAGAAAGGTACACTCAGCTTTTTTAATGGAATCTGTAGTTCTTGGATATACTGTATGTAGAACTATATAGGACTCTATAAAGGTTTGTTCTCACTTAAACTTTTAAAGTTAAAAGGGTTTTTAAATTGCTGTAGCACAGCATGGCTGTGGACAGAAAAGGCTTTTTTTTAAAGAAAGCATTGATACACAGATACGTGGCTTCTGGGGAGGGATGTTTGTAACCTTTCTGAGCAGTATTTGAGACTTGTTCTTTTGTGTTGCTGAATAGAAGCTGAGCCCAGATTCTGTGTAGAAGTCCAGAATTATATGTATTTTGGGATTTTTTCATTTTTTTTTGTATTTTTGGGAGGTACTTCAAGTGGCATGTGTTGAAGCACTAATGTTTTTTGGGGTTTATTTTCTTGCAGGAATTTGTCAATCTGTATGCTGACTATATACTCAATAAATCAGTAGAAAAGCAGTTCAAGGCCTTTCGGAGAGGATTCCACATGGTGACCAATGAATCTCCTTTGAAATATTTATTTAGACCAGAGGAAATTGAATTACTTATTTGTGGAAGTAGGGTAAGAATTCTGAATGTACACTAGAGAGTGGAGCTTTTGTTTGATCCTAAGTATATAATTAGTGGTCATCTTTAAAAATATCATCTTCTTACAGAATTTAGATTTTCAAGCACTAGAAGAAACTACAGAATATGATGGTGGCTATACAAGAGACTCTCTTATTATTAGGTAATTTTTTCTAATTTTGTAAAGATATTATTATTATTATTATTATTATTATTATTATTATTATTATTATTATTATTATTATTATTAAGTAAAAATATTATTAGGTGGTTTTTTCTAATTTTGTAAACATAAAAAGCACTTTATCTGCTTGTTTCTTCATAATGAATTCAATATTGTAAGATTTAGTATTTTTGTAGTACTGGAGATGCAAATGTCTTATGTGTAATTTCACTTTTCTCAAGTATCATCATTAGAAAAAAAAGAGATGGTGTAAGCATTGTTGAATCAGTATAATTCCCTAGGAAATAGGAATAATAGAATATCTGCAGAACACTTACCAGCCAAATTAACATTTAAAGACAGTTTAACTGCAGTGTTTGGTAATATTTCTGATTTCTATTTCTGAATCTCACTGATTGGTAAATAGTATTCTGATAGTTTGCCTCATGAGTGCAACCTGTGAACTTGGTGTTATGACTGATTAGAAATACTACACTTTTAGAGCCCAATTTTAAAAGTGTCATTTATACCAAAGAAAGTTTATGGTTTATTTACTTTTTGATTTCTTYCTTGGTAGGGAATTCTGGGAAATAGTCCATTCTTTTACGGATGAACAGAAAAGACTGTTCTTACAGTTTACAACAGGCACAGACAGAGCCCCTGTGGGAGGACTTGGAAAGTTAAAGATGATCATAGCCAAAAATGGCCCGGATACAGAGAGGTAAAAAAAAAAAAAATCTACATTTTGCTCATTTTTTTATAACTGAAAGCAAATTCTGTGCTTTTGAATTCTTAACCTGGTTACATCTGAAAGTTGAATCTCTAAGAAGAATGTATTTTCTTCAAGTTCATTATTTTTGGTCTTGTAAAATAGAGATATATTTCTTTGGCATGTTCCAAGATCTGAATTATTTTCTTGTTTGTTTTTGTTTTGTCCCACAGGTTACCTACATCTCACACATGCTTTAATGTACTTTTGCTTCCGGAGTACTCAAGCAAAGAAAAGCTTAAAGAAAGATTATTGAAGGCCATCACATATGCCAAAGGATTTGGCATGCTGTAATAAGTATAACAAAAGGGATTTAAAAATGATGGTGATGATGTCCCTGTCCAAAAAGGCCATAAGATAGTGAGCTACAGTAGTCACCTGTGTTTGTGCCTCCCTTCTTTACTGGGGACATTGGGCTGGAACAGCAGATTTCAGCTGCTTATATGAACAAAATCTTTATTTTTTTCTTTTAGCGTGAAAGTGTTACATATTCTTTCACTTATATGTACAGAGAGGTTTTCCTGAATATTTATTTTAAGGGTTAAATCACTTTTGCTTGTGTTTATTACTGCTTGAAGTTGAGCCTTTTTGAGTATTTACAAGAAAACAAACTGTACTCTCCCAAGGAAAATATTGCCATCATTTGTAGACCATGTAACCTTCAAGTATGTGCTATATTTTTGTCCCTGTATCTAATCAAATCAAGAACTGTACTTTTTGAAGAGTTTGCTTTTGAAACTTGAAGTCTTGAAAAACAGTGTGATGCAATTACTGCTGTTCTAGCCCCCAAAGAGTTTCTGTGCAAAATCTTAAGAATCAATAAAGATGGAAGGGAGAACTTGGAATGTTAAATTGCAGCCTTGAGAACTTTACTTTAGTCACAGCACAACAATTAAAATTCATTTCACTATATGTTGTCTTCACATGTCTTGTAATAAACTGTGTTTTTAATTAGGAAACATTTCTTAGCATATGAAAGGGTAGAAATTTTAGTTACTTTTTTAAAAAAAGTTTACTGGGGAAAGTGCATTTTCAACTGAACAGCTTTAGAGTAGGGAGTGAAGTGTCTGGAAAAAAAGATAGGAAGTTTTTGCTATATTATAAACAAAGCATGTGGAAGTGCACTTAAAATGAAGTTTTATTCTTAATTGCYTATTATGTTGACATTTTAAATAGACAATCCAAAGTCTTCCCTACGTGTTATGTCATCATCATTTATTTAATGAATGATTTTTCCTACCTATCAAGGCACATGATCAGTGTTGCACCATAATCTAAAGGGATGGCTACTGTATTTTAATCTCATCTAACAATAAGCAAAATTGAACAATATTAAACGTGAGGCCTACTTCATGTTGTACACTTCCAACCATTAAATAAACTGTTAGAAAGTAAGTACTAAGGTTATGTTCATCTACTACATAAAGTATTCAGTAGGTTTTTAATTTAACTCTACAAATCATATCAGAAATAAATCCTTTACCTTTCATAGTCTGTGTTTAATGTTAATTTCTCCTGTTGCAATATACAATGAAGGGATTATGCATTTGTAAGTGCAGATGTAACTGGCATATCTCTTTTCCAATACAAGCTGCAGCGGGTGTGCAGAGCTGAGCTTGTGCCTTGACAATTGCTATAACTGGCTACTACCGATCAAAACCGTGACTGTGTGGAATTGGCATTAAAAGGCTTAGTTTTGAAATCATTGGAAAAAGAAAAGATGTCTTTCAGGACTATTTTAATAAATTCTTTCTAGTAATAGAAACAGACAACTGTTATGTAACTATGATGCTGAATAAAACAATGACCTTTTTTCACCATGGTTCAGTGAAAAAGACAACAAGTTACTTTCTTACTTTGATAAATTAGATATTAAATTTTTTKATTAGAAATTGTTGTAGTACTGCATAATTTGAGGGTTGCAGGTACARAAATTCTCCAGAAGTGAACTGTAGTGATCTGGGGTCCAGTGATTTTCCCCTCTCAAATTCAATCCAGTGCCAGACAGCCTGGACACATGGGACTGAAACTGGCTGGGGAGGGAGAGGTGCTGTCTTCTGGCCTTTGATCTCAGAGGTGGCCCTTAGGGCCTGCCCTCTTTTATGTCCACCTTGTTGTATGTCCCTGAAGAGGAAAACACAAGATACCCTGCCTCTCAGTGCAGGGTGGTTGATGGCAGTGCTTGCTGAGCCCTTCAGGTTTGGAGCAACTTTTACTGTAGGTGGTGAGAACAAGACTTGCCGAGTGCCTTGAGGTGCTTTGCTACAAGCGTGAACATGTCCTGGTACTGCTKTGTGGTATGTAAGTGTCCACAGTCTAATGCTCTTAAAGCTGTATTCCTGTAACTTCTTATCCTGATGAAGCTGTGGTTTGTGGTTACRCCCAGCTGACAGGTGTATGTGATTCATATTGGGGTTTTTTATATAGGTCTAAAAGCTGTGCAGACAGCATAACTGGATAGCAATACAGAATTCTCTAACTGAACTGTTGACATTGTAAATAGGCTCTTTCTGTTTTCCTTTAGCATTAAGATTAAAATAATATATAATTGCCTTGGCCTTCAAAAGCATAAGTTGTTTTTCAGGGAATCATTTTCAGGTAAGATGTAGTACTTCATATTTGACTGATTTCTCATGTAATATATACTGCCTCCCTCCAAACACCRCTGTATTGAAACCGTATCTCCTAAGTGCTGATATAAATGCACTGGTTGTTCAGCAGCACTGGTTGATGAGGTTTGAAATAAATAAACCTTGAAGTCTTGTAGCTGCAGGCTACATTCCTCTCCTATAGAAGTTGCAGCCAGAAAGGGAAAATGCCATTTTAAGTTGGTTTTGGTTTGACTTTTTTTTCTGGGCTCCMGGCACAGCTGGAATGTCTTTCACAGTGTCTAGCAAAGTTTACATCTACAAAACTTACCTTGGAGACTTAAGTGTACTTATGTGTCATGGAGATACCTCTCTTGAGTGAGACAGAAGATTCCTTTTCTAAGGCAGTAGTCTGACACCAGTGTGGTGGTGCTCTCTCCACAGGGTGTCTTCAATATKTTGACAAGAAAATATTTTGGCCATCTCAGCACTGGCTCATTTGACAAGTGAAAAATACCTCTTCAAGTATCTCCTTCTGCACCCTAATAGACTGCCAGAATGTTTCCAACCTTGGTGTGAAGAGGCCATCAGGTTTCTGTCTATGTTTTGTTTTCAAAAATGATAGTAGTGCAAGAAAACAACTAGTGCACTGAAAAGAGTCATCTTAATAAGGCACTTTTTTCAGATTTAATTAGGAGTGAAGAAATGGTTTTGTTTATCTCTGGTGGTATGTCAGCACATGATTCTGCATACAGATTATCACGCTTTAGAAGATTAAAACTTTTGCATCTTGCTAAGAAGATTTCAGTAACAGCTGTCAGGAGCACAGTTCAGTTGACTAAGGAATAGTGTTGTGTGAACTTCTGACTGGGCTTATCTTCRGTTTGGGAGGCAGCAGCCTGAGACAGGATGGTGGCAGCCAAGGGTACTCCCTCCAACGCTGCATTCTGAGGAAAGCTGATTGTGGAATGGGCTGGAAATGGGCCCAGGGCTCCATGCARCTCTGTGTCTCATCCAGCAGTGGCTTCAGTGCTGAAGCAGGAGCTTCCTACCACRTGTGGCACTACACAGGTGTGATGGACCTGGTGGGCTTTGCCTTCAGGTAGCTGCAGTGTGGGCTGCCCAGGAATGCATGGCCCTCTGCTCTGTGGAGCAGAGAATTGGACACAAGTTTCCATGCTGCTGATGTTCTGGAAGAGGACAACCCCCACATCATCAGCTTAAAGGTGTTTCCCTTGCACTGTTGCAGCCARTTACCTCCTTGTGAATTTTTAATCACAGTAGGATTAAAAAATTCCTGCTTATCTCAAGAATTTTTTATTATAAATATGAATCAGTTGGATGGAATCTTTGAGCTATGCCTTCCTCATTATGCAGAAAAACTCCAGCATTTCAGCATGCAAGATGGAGCAGGAATTTCTTCCAAGTTTAGCTATTCAAAATCAAGCCTTTCCTTACAAGAGCTGAGTTTATTATGCTTAGTCTGAGTCACAAGGACTTGTGATAAGTTACCTACAACTGTTGTTCACACTTGAAAGTTTAATTAAAGTTTTTTTAAAAATTCGTAAGACCATCGGGGACTTAATAAAATTAATTTTAAGAAATTCAGTTTTATACTGTATCCCAGAAGGGACACTGCATTGGAAATAAGAGTTGATACTGGCATTAGTTTTTACACAGGGCACTTCTTGCCCAGATGAATTTGTTTGGAAAACCCATTAATTTTTCATTGTATTTTTCTCCAGTGCTCCATCTGAAGATGTCTTCAGCTGTTGATTTTTATTGTTCGTCATTAACAAAACATAAAATTGTGTGGAAAGGTGGATTTAATTGAGAATACACAAGTGTAATTGTTATTCTGTTCTGCAGTATTTGTAGGATACATCAAGAGAGCTATCCTGATAAATAACTGAAGTTTGCCAAGTGTGCWTGTGTTTATGGATGTCTTGCTCAATATATATCCTGCGTTGGAATTTCTGTGTAGTGAAATGTCTAATAGAAATGATTGGAGATGCAAGTGGAGGGTGGGAATCATTATTCTATTTTAGGACAATAAGATTGCCTATCTTATTCCAATTAGGAATGCCTACATTATTTTGCTGAGTAGGTTTGTGCAGTTTTGAGACTTAAAAATTGAGACCAGAGCTGACTCTGAAAGTCAGACAGCAATTGCTGGAGTTAGGCTCCTGCCCTTGGAAGGACAGGAAGGCAGCACAGCTCAACTACAGACAGCTGCATRGGCGGGGATCCTGCTGTTCCTGCAGCCTTGGCTCACAGCTTGGACTGACCAACGTCAAGACAAAAACTGCAGCATCCTGAAGATTTGGGACTCAACTGTTACATGCAAAGATGACWTGAAGCCTTTCTTCTTAATGTCACCAAAGGCTCTGGTGTATCTGCTGTGCCATTGGAGTCATGTACAGYGAAAATCCCTTAAATCTATCTTCCCATTTCATCCTTCTGCTTTCAGACTGGTATAGGACAGCAGTGTAACAGTGCTCAGGAGTTAGTGGCTGTAAAGTGGAAATTAGTTGAACTTTTCTGTTCCAGGTTTTGAGATGCATCATGTGCTGCTACCTTTGATTTAGTATTTCCCTTTGCAAGCACTCTGTTGGAGCAGCAAGGGGTAAAGATCAGGTGAGTCAATACAATTAAAGGGGTTTTGTTTCTTGATATAACCGATTTTAATAAAAATGGGAAACTACACAAGAACATTTTCTAGATGAAAAGGTGTTTTCAAAAAAAAAAATCTCCCTTGTGTCATGTACACTGATTTTTATTTGTCTTCTATGCATGAAGAATGCTATGAATTTTGGAGCAAGCCCCCTGAAATAAAGCAAATTACATTTTGGTCTCACCAATACAGGCACTTTCAAAGTTCAACACAGACTTCTTTGTGAGCATCTGGTAAGTGTTGCACTGTTTTTTTACACTTTGACTTTGGGGAGGCTCCCATTCCCAAACTAAAATCCCCAAGAGGATATCCTTTCCAAAAATGTTCCTATCTGGCTGATTTTGTGCAGGGCTGGAGCCACCAGGTTCTGCTTTCTGCCCTAGCTCTAATGGCCAGCAGACAGCCTAGGTGATGCTCTTGCATCAGGAGTTCTTCCAGACATCCTCAGGCCTTTCAGAAGCAATCCTGCTCTGGATCTGCAGCRGTTTTATCATCCAAGCAGTTTTATCATCCAAGATAGTTTTCTTGCTAGCTTTGATTTTGGAGGAGAGACAATTTCTTACATTTAAGCCCTAGGAAACATTTCCTGGGTTTGGGCTCTCTGGAACCACAGTCGTCCTCTGTTGCCACCTTCAGAGGATGGGTTTAGTCCCTTCTTTCTCTTTAGTGCTCTTGGCTTCTGCAGGACAAGGGCTGGCCTGGAGCCAGTGCTCTTGGACTGCACGTCCTGCTATAGCCCAGCAGTGGCACTGGGGGCAGCTGGTGACAATAATTTGCCTGCTTCTTCCAAGCCTCGCTGCTGCAGGGCTGTGGGTGGTAACAAAGGGCTCTCAGCAGTTTCATCCTGACATCTGCAAGGAGAAACCTCCAGCRGCCACATTCTGCTGGATTTTACCTTTCTTCGGGGCATTTTGGATCCCAAGGATGGTTGCAGCTTCTGGGGTYTCCTAGTGGCTGATGGCAGCATCAGTTGGTCTCACCACCTCCTGAGTTTGCTCTGAAATTTTCCCTTCCCCTRCCTAATTGAGAGTGAAGCTGTGTAAGACTAAAGCCCACATGGAGTAGGCAGCTCTGCTGTGCTGCACAACAGGTCTGCCCTCTGCACTGGCAGTGGCTGGGATGGGGAAGGTGCCCTGCTGGAGTCATCCCTGTAGCCCATCGATCTGGCTCGATTCCCTTCTGGCCACCAAACTCTTAAGTGTAAATCAGTTTGGAAAAACTACAGGGCTTCCAGAAAACTCTACAGGGCTTCCCCTGTCGGCTTTCTCTCTCTGGCTCCACTTTGCAGTATCCCTTCTGTACCAGCTTCCCTTCCCCAGGGACTGGAAGCTGACCTGCTTGGGATCTCCCTTGCCCAGCACATGTCTGTCACCCCTGCTCTTGGCTGCAGTTTTGAACTGCCACCAGCTACCCCGAGGTGCTGCATGGCTCTTTTGTTCTCATCTTCCTCACCACACTCATCCTTCGCTGCCTGCCAGTGCTCACAACTGGTGCAGTCAGGTTATGGCAGTGAAACTGTTGGCCGGGAGGCCCGGAACTGAAAGTGTTTCTGCTTGGGGCAGCTCCTCTGTCAATGTGCCTTGAGCCATGAGCCTTCCCTGTGCTGTCAGCGCTCAGGCTAAAACATGCACGGAGAAACCCAGCTGTGGCTGACAGGATAAATGAGCTGTGGTGGCAACTGATGTGTTTGGAAAGGCATGAGGCACTTTGCTAGAAAAGCTCTGCMGCTTTGTGCTGCTAGACGTAAGGGTTTTTCCTAACCTTGATGCAAGCGTGGTCAGAGGCAGCTGYTAATGCAAGGAGATGAGGCACTGGATTTTCAACAGAACTATTAAAAATCCCACCTGGATAATCTCCTTCAAAAAGAGTGCCTAAAGTTGCTACTGTAGGAGAGGCTTTCCTGTGCCAAGCTTTGGATCTGTGAACAAACCACCTGAGGACTTGCTTTAAACAGCCTAAATCTACAAGTAATCTGAAAACAGCAGGAATCCCAGTGCAGGAAGTKGGATTAATTATCTGCGCTATTCTGCAAGTAAAATGTTTATACTTKGGTGAGCAACTGGCAATTGGTTCTCCTAAAAAGAGTAGATCTTTRTAGCACATTTGGTTTGATTAATCAGCTCTGGAGACAAGCTATGCAAAAAAGAAAAATTCCTTCTGTGCTTCTCTGTCTCCTCTAGAAAGGCAAGTAGTGCCTGTTGGTTCTGTTCTTGCCATGCTCCTCACCTGGAGGGGCTGCTCGGGTGTGACTGCTGTGGGTTGGGTCCCCTCCCAGGGCAATGGAGGGATATAACTGTTGGCAATAAGTTGGGTTTTTTTTCCTTGTCAGGAAACTAAAGAAGTGACATTAAAGCAGACAAAAGGTTGAGATACTAATAGCTATTCATCAAGCTGCCCATCACTCTGGATTTCAGCTGTGCTTTTCTGATTTTCCATGTTAGTCTTCAGTTGCCCTCTTACAGAAAGGTTGGTATCACAAATACTAAGGGAAGAAAAATGGAATAGCAGCCATTAGTAAACTCCTTCCATGTTTCTGCACTTCGGTTTTAGTAATCTATCTCTGATTTACCCATACAAATAAGACAGGCCTCTGTTAGAGMTGGATAGTGTCCTCCTCAGCCTCTTGGAAAGACAGTCCATGGAAGCTGAGCCATTGGCACTGCAATTTSCAGTCTCCTTGCAGCAGCCCAGAGATTCTGATGAAATTGTGAGAACTGCTGCTGCTTCTGGAGTAGCTAATGTTTGTGTTCATCCTTAAATAACTGCATAAAGAATGGAAGTCTTTCTTCCTCCCTCTGCTCCTGCAGAATGGGGAGGGCTGTGAACACAGAACAGCGTAACTGTATTTTCTGCAGTGAATMTGCAAGGGCTGTTGGCAGCAGCAAGCCTCAGCCCTTGTGAGCTGGATATTATTGCAGAATCTTAATTTCAGAAACAAAAAGCCTGACCATTTTCAGCTCCAGAGCTTGTTCCTCAGGGCTTGTGTGTTTTTCCTCCATCACCCAAGGCAGAGTAGAAAGTGTGCAAGGCTTTGCCATCCTCCCTGTAAGGATTTCCCAGGCAGCCTTCTCCTCATGCTCTGGACTGTGAATGGGGCTGGGGAGGAGAGRGGAGTCCCAGACTGATGGCTTCCCTCAGGAAAGCTTCCACAACTGAAATCTTGCACTTAAACTGCCTGTACAGTTGCCAGATCCATTTAGTGCAGAATTCATTTTGCTCTCAGGGATACACAGCGGGTTTTTGYGAATGCTGAATTACGTAAACAAGGGTTTGATTCTTTCTGTTTGTTCCAGGTTGGAAATATGAACAGAAGAGCTGGGGGACCTTGAAACCAAGGGCAGATGGTGTCATCTCAATATCCTGAGGGTGAAGAGCAGCTCTCCTTTAGTCCACCTGTGTTACCTTACAGGACAACCTGGCCTAGGTTTGGCCTGTGAATGTTTCATCCTTGGTGTCAGCAGTGATGCCGACACAAGTGCGTCTTCCAGCTCAGAGAAAGCACTGATGCTTTTGTGGAGGAAAGGACAATAAGCAGTTTTCTTTTTAATGTAAAGCAGAGCCCTCTTATTGTATGTTAGTAAATATTTGGCAGGAATGAAACCATAAAGCAAATGTCTTGAAGAAGAGTTAAAAGCACCATTTTACCTTCCCTGTGCTATTTCTTAAGAAAGAGCTGTCAAGCAAACCCCAGCTCTGGGCTGTACAAATACATGAGCTGTTTTGCTGTCACTGCCACATCTGAAGTCCAGTTCATTAAATTTTGTAAGGCAGTTTTCTACTGTAAAAACTGTAAAGTACAATAATAGTAGGGGATGACAGTAGRATGGGGTGCTGCTACCGAGAGCACTTCAGAGAGGAGCAAGGCTGGAATTGTTGGCTGTTAGGGTACAGGGTTTGTGGCTTGAGGCCCTTTCCCTAGAMAAGCTCACCCCAAGCACCTTTCCTTTTGCACGTGGAGCAGATGTTCAAATGCCTCCGATTTTGTCCATCCGGTGTCTCACTCAGCACAGGGAGTTTGGTGCAGCAGTACCAGCCCATGGCCACACACTTAGGGCCCAAGTGAAGTGACTGCTGTGGCCATCAAACCTATTTCTAGATTCAAGGCCTGTGTTCTAATGCTCTCTAATTACTGCCCTATTCCCTGCTTTCTCTTGTGACAGGGTTGAAGGACCAGCCCAGCCCAGCCTGTGCCAGRCAATTTTTGGTAGGTGATATGTGCAAGTAGCAGAAAGCTCCACACCCTTTTATCTGCTAGACAAGCCACTGTCCCTGCTGTGCCACCCTGCCTGGAGCCAGGAAGGGGAGGACAGGAGACAGGTGGCAGCAGCATGAAGAGCCTGGAAGGCTCTGCGCCCCATGGGACCTGGCAGCCCTTGGGCAGTGGAATAATGGTGGAGTTCTTGTGTCTGTGTGCTGTCTGCAAACACAGGGACGGTGTCAAAACCGGGCCCGGGAACCAAAGCTGTGTGCCAGCTGCCCTGCAGTGAGGGGAGTCCACCATTCCCCCTTGGTTTATTGTCACTTCAGATGTCTGTTCCAGCTAACGATTTCCAGGCTATGTAATGTTGACATGATCAAAGTCTGTCATGAAACACTAAAATCTAGAGGGATATGGAYAAGAGAAAACAGAGTTGCTTGAACATTACTCAAAATATTTTAATGTACATGTTGTAGCCACATTAAAGAAGAGGAAAAAACATCTTACAGAGATAAAAGATGTCAAAGGATGTGATTTCATCATGCCAGAAGCTGTATGTTTCAAAGTGACCAAAGCCAATAGCATCMAAATGCTCTCTTTCTGGCATATGAAAACCAGATCAAGAGGCACAGACAGGAAAGAGCAAACATGTATTTATCTGATAGATTAGGCTGTTCTGATCYGTCAGGTAAAGAAGCAGTCTTGTGTTTGTGGGTTTTTAAACAGGTGTAACTTTGGTACAAAGAGTACTTTAAACAGTTTTACATCCCTAGTGGGCTGGAACAGCTGTGCTATGTTGGGTAGATAGTAAGGTATTTACAGAGAATGATGACTGATGGAGAACATGTCGACATGCACGAAACCCCTGCCAGACATGGTGGGTTTGAGTCACACACCAGTGACTCAGCCACAGTGAGCACAGTGCCCGCCTCTGTCACCAGGTGAAAGCTGCAAGTTGAGCAGCCTGTGAGRGCACCATTTGTGCTCACAGAGGTACCCTGCAACGAGTCCAGCTCCACCTCAACCCTGCCTGCCTCTGGTGGGGCCAAGGGCACTACACCCCTGCCAAAAGCARCCTCTCAGACCTTCCCCATTTCTCTCAAGCCCTTAAAGAAAATAAGGACAAGGTACAGCTGACAGACCAATACYCTTGAGTTCCAATAGCCACATACAGACCTTGGCTACTTTCCAAAACACACATTACTACCAGTGGATTTTTGATAGTAGCTGTAAAGTCCAGTCTACAGAAGATTCAAAAGTGTATTTGGCTTCTAGGCTAAGGATACCAGGAGTTTAGATGTGGGCCATGTGTGGAAATTACTATCCAGTGATCCCTTTGCCAGGGCTGYTGGCAAAGCTCCATTCCTTAATCACTGACAGGTTTGTCTCCMTCACCAGGCTCAGCAGTGTCAATAGAAGGAGAAAGCTGCTTGCCTGGAGACAAGGGCTTACTCTGAGCAGCTGTACTCAGTTTAGAAAAAGTGTCTCTTTTCATTCCACTACCACCCAGTTAAACCACCCTCTTCTCAGTGGGTTTCTCACCAATGTCCCAACAGGCCATCCATGCCAGTTGCCATCGTAAGTCAGGGCTGAAGACAAGTAAAAGTGAGAGCACTGTTCCATAGTAATATCTAATGCCACTGGAGGATCTCAGGCCATACATGCTGAACAGCCTCTGTTACTCCATACTTTTCAAAAGCCAATGAGTTACGGCAGGATGAAAGTAACAAGGGCATTTTTCTGTTGCATGACAGAAAAATACAACAAATGATGAAAACCAGTATCTTTTGCATTCTCCCTAACTAATGAAAACATGGTAGTGTGACAATTTCAGAGAAAAGATGGCAGTAGACAGCAAAGGGAGACGGAGCAGACATAGTTAAAAGAAATAAAAAGGAAGAAAACATAGGCCTAAGTGACAGGAATGACTTTGCAACACAGGGCTTGTTCTCCCTACCTTGCAGAAACCCTRTTGCAGAAACCATGGGGTTTCTCAGTAGTCTCCCTCGGGGACTGCCCACTTGATGCCAGGGAGTTCACTGAGCACCCGACGTACAGGAGCTGCATGCACCACAGCCCTCTTTTTTCTTCCCAGGTTTGGTGATGCCATATTGCCCCAGATGCTTTCCACCAGTCAGCTTTAGGGGACTCCTCTCCAGGTGAGGGTTTTACCAGTGGGGATGGAACTGGGCTAAGAAAAACAAAAACAAAAGGGAGGATCCCCCACTCTTTGCCCTGGTGAAGCAGTTGCAGTGCAGCAAAAGCTGTCACAGACCCTGCCAGAAGGGACATGAATGAGYACTGCTACTCTGTCAGCATGGTCTTTGTGCAGAGCCCAGCTCATTAGAGAATCAGACCAAAGCATCCAAATGTGTGGCTATTCCATGTACAGGGTACCTTGCAATGGCCAGGTACCTGACACTGCTCAGCTGTCATCCAAGTGTTTGCACAGACTGTGAAAGAACAAAAATTTTGAGAAACCCAGACATCCATCCATGCATTTAATCAGCTACTAAGGTAGCAAGGTAGAGCACGGTACCCTATAAATATTTTTAAGCTCTTAAAAAGGGAAATAAATTAATCCCTTCTATTTCAAGTACAATGCCTTCTTAATGCATGACCTGTGACATGAGGAGACAACATGTCAAGACCTACAGTTACCAAACACAACAGACATTCTGAGCATGACTTGTAAGAAACCCACTCTCAGTACAAAAAAGTACCCAAGTGCCAGGCCAAATTTCCCCCCATGAAGAAGCTGACAGTGTTCTATTTACAGGAAAATACTGCTTCAGTTAAAAATGCTAAAAACCATTCTCTTGAGTTCATATAAAAATAATCTTGTCTATGTATGCACACACATATTTACATACATTTATGGCTTTCAGTGCTTCAACTTTCTTGAATAAATGTTACTACTTTTTCTCCTCCTCAGGTTTTTCACCCTCTCCTTCTGCAACTGATAAGCTGCCACTACCATATTTTTTCACTTTGGTTTCTACTCTGGCAAGTCTTTGTTTCACCTTTTGTTGTGCTGAGTTGTATTCTGCCAAGAGCCTCGCAAACCTAGTCTGCAGTATATCCAGAGATACTTCAAGTTTTCCTATTTTTTCTTCCAAATCTTTTGGGTCAGCTCCCGCTTTTGCTGCCTCCTCATCTATTAAATTGTCTTTCATCAGAATTTGACGTCCTTTCTCTTCCAGAGCCTTTTTGGCTTCTGGATATTCTGTGAGGGCTTCCATTAAATCATCCTTAGACAAGCAGAATAAATCAGAATAACCAATACTCCTAATGTTGGCTGTCCTCCTGTTGCCAGATTTGCTACCTTTGATGTTTAGGATGCTAATTTCACCAAAGTAGCTGCCATCRCTTAGGACTACAAATTGGGTTATGCCATCGTCTGCCACCACAGCCAATTTTCCCTCTTTAATTATGTACATTTCTCTTCCAATATCTCCTTTTTTGCAAATGTAGTCACCAGGACTGAAGACCGTAGGTTTCAGTTTCAGCACCAGTTCAATGAGAAGTCCAGCTTCACAATCCTGRAATATACGCACTTTCCTCAGCGTGTCCAAATGGACATTGATGGCAATTTCAGCTTTCAACTTGTCAGGCAGATTTTTGAGAACTTCCTTCTCATCTACGGTTTTCTTGTTGGTCCAGAGGTAATCAAACCACTTAATAACCCTGGCCTCCAAATCCTTAGTCACTTTTCGGAATTGCATGTACTGTTTAATGGAATCCACTTTGGCCTGGAACTCTGCCCTGGAAGCATTCATGTTGGAAATCATGGAGCCAACATTACCGACAATGGTAGCGAAGATGAGCACACCCACCAGGAAATCAATGACCACAAAGAGATACTCCTCATCTTTCACGGGGGGCGGCGTTTCTCCGATGGTTGTYAGCGTGAGTGTTGACCAGTACAGACTGTAGATGTACTTCCTGGACAGGCGCGCGTATTCCGGAATGGACACGTTGGGATACACCCAGGAGTCRGTTCCAAACCCAATCACCTTCGATATCGCAAAGTATATGCACGCATTCCAGTGGATGATGATAAGAATGTATAACACAAGATTGCCAATACGGAACATGTTGGGATAATTTGTCCTGGTCTCGGTACGGTCAAAAAACTCAAAGAGCCGAGCGATCCTCAGCAAGCGGTTAAATCGGAGCTCGGGGTAGTTCAAACCAAGCTTGAAATAYGCCAGGTCTGTTGGCAGAAGAGACAGCACGTCCAGTTTGAACTGCATAGTTTGTGTATAATGTATTCGTAACTTCTTCTCATCCTTAACTAGCAAGCCTTGCTCAAGAAAGCCTTCAGAGAATAAAAAGACAGATTTTACTTGTTAGAGGAAAAATACCATGAACAGTAGTGAGCAACTTACATTTCAAACCTATGAATGTTAAAATTTGTCCTATTCTTACAGACATTGACATATTATACGCATTTAACTGCGTATTTAAATATTTCAATCAAGGTTCAAAAGTGATATAYAATGATTAAGAACAATGACTCCATTATGACCACAGTGCTTCCTGAGTTTTCCACTCTATTCTGGGACAGCTCTATCTTTTTCTTCTAAGTATCTTTGCCAAAAAAAAGGAGGGGAATTCAAGTGTCTAATTTTTCATGAATCACTRTCATGAGTCATAACTGAAGTTAAGCAAAATGTTAAGCAATTGTGTATAAAATTGGAGTGGATATTTTTAAATAAATACCAAGAATAAGCAGGTATAACGGATTATTGGAAACTATTTCCAAACAATATAGATTTCCTTGAGATAAGGAAATGCAGTTACCCCTCTCCCTGAGTCATGTTTTTCCTCTTGTGTCCAAGGTTAAAACTGACGGGATTTTCCTTTGCTTTACTTCCTTTTCCTTGACTTTTTTGTGTTTCTAGTGAGAGAGCTACCAAGCAGGATTTCGCACATGAATATTTCTTCATTCAAAAGACTTTCAAAGTATTCAATTTTAAAAAATTACAAGTAGCTATTAACCGCAGTAAGAGACCTTCACTGCAGACAACAGCCACAGTGCTCTTTTGTACCTCTGAGAGCAAGGAACAGCCTCTGCATAGCAAAATACTTGCTAAAATTGCAAGTGGAGATATCCAACTGTCAGCCCATTGGGCCATTCAGGAGGAAAGGTCCACTGAGAAACCAAAACATCCCTGATACCTGGGATTATCACATTTTACTAATCCCTTAGCAATCTACAAGCAATCTATCACTTTCTCAGGGAAGCATCTGCTGAGGAACATCAAGCTTCATTTCTTTGCGCCCTACACAGCACAGCTGCACTGCTGGAATGTGTGGTGTATCTGTAGATGCCTCATCTATTTGTGTCTATCTGCCTTTGGATCAAACTGTTGGCAACTACAGGAAATAGTTCCTGTGACATGCATGTCTTGCCCCACCAGGAAACTGCTGAAAAAGCTGGTGAAATACACCCTTTAGTTATAGAACTGAACAGAAAAGCAAGCCAGACAAGATGAATTTCTGATTCACAATTATGAAAAATAACTCTGAAAACATCTTCCTCCAAAGGGAGATAAAATCTCTCCGCCCTTTTTGTTCCCTTACGGAACTAAACTCTTACAGTAAAATCTTTTGAATGCATCAGAACACAGGGTATGCTGAACGTGACCAGCTGCTGAGACATGAATCTTTTTTGTTTCATAGTGCACAGTCACCAAACAGGTGAGATACAGTCCAATTGCACCTGCAGCTAGACAGAAAAGCACTGTGGAGAGGCTGATGATCAGAGTAGTCATAGGGCTATCTCGATCTCAGTGCAAAGGCAGACCCTGCCCTCAGACAGCAGGAAGTAACACTCTTCCCCAATGGTTTCCAGGACCTCTGTCCTCAGGGCAGATGGACCTTGCAGACTCACAAGAAAAGGCACCAGGCACAGGCAGAATCAGGAGGGATGTTAAGAGAGGTGACCAAGATTTTGGCACCTAAAAGAAGCAACTTCTTTCTTGGAGTGCCTGGAACTGCAGCCCACACCTGAATTGAAGCACTTGGGAGACAGCTATAGAAATTCTGCAGCTATAATCCAGCCCTGCAAATTCAAATTCTAGCCAGGCTTTAACAGCCATATAATCATTATCTGGACMGCCCATGGTAATTTGTAACTTGCATTGCCTGGACATGCCTAATTTCTGCTCTGTTCTTTCCCATTACAGTAACAAATGTAACCACAGAAGGTAAATTTAGTTGGCACTGTTGACATTTTAACTACACCAAGAAGATTAAGCCCCCCCATCCTGCCCCAAATACAGGCTTGTGATTTAGGCTGGTACCCAACACTGACTTTCCTGTTGAACAAGGTACTTGCTAAATTTAAGAATTTGGCTTGCTGTGAGTTGTGTGCTTCCCACATGACAGCAYTTTTAGCCCCTGCCTTGTAATTATGTTTACAACTTGTCACAGGCCATAATTAACATCAAGCTGTCAGCATGACTTTAARTAAATAAATAGATAAAAATGGATAAGATGTTAAAATGAAAGATTTAAAATTATTCTCGTTTTTTTAATGATCAGTGTTGTTTTGGACCTTTTCAAGGGACATTTTGAGGCTATGTCTACACCAGTGAACAGAATGAGACAGGAAATGTTTTCTGACCCTGAGACCAGCTACCATGACAACTTCTACTCACATGTAAGTTTTTCCAGGACCCTCCAAAACCACCATGAACTACACACAACCTCTGCTGTCCTCCTAGCTGTGCCCAGAGACCAGGTGCTCGCTGGCATGGACCAAAAGTGCAAGCATCAAAGTGCATCAAGGACTATTCCAGCAATTTAGTGATATGGATCGTTGTACGTCATTGCTTGGGCCCRTATTATGACCTTATTCAGTTTAAAACAGATACCATTTTAAGGCTGGAATCTCAGCCTGCCTGGATTACAGGCACAGGAACAAGAAGCTGAAGAGAACCACTTTACACATGACGTGGCACAGCCCTCRCAGATCCTCTGGGTTCACACTTCCCCCAGGAAGGCAGGACCTAAGCAGAGGTTCCTGGATTAACCCTACCCCTTCATCAGGCAGTGGAAAACCCAGCCAGAGCCCTGCAGAGCTGCAGGAAACACATCTGGTGGCACAGGGGCTGCGCTGCCTGGTCCAGGCACAGGAYCACAGACTGAAGGCAGAGACAGGTGCCAGGTCTTGACCAACTCAAGAACCACTTCTGACCTGGATGCTGTACAACTTAGTTAAGAAAACAGCACTTGTAGGGTATAGTTGGTTTCTTGTCCCAAGTGCCCTATTYTTTCCCCACACAGCCTGTTACAGTGGCTACTCACTCAGCATCTGGTATGACTATGACTGACAGAACTGAATTTACACACAACTGAAGAGCAAGTGTGGGGATGTCCACCCTTAAAAAAATCCAAACTGATCAGACACTTCATCTTCCCAAAGCCTCCACTGTTGGATTCCGACAGGATATTACAGTGGTAAGACCCCACAGGGGGAATTCTTGCTTCCATCCTTTATATACATGCAGTGCTTGAGAACACTGTAAAATCCCAGAAAGACTCACCTGTTCTGAATCTGACGAACATGTCAATAACATAGATAATATCAGAGACATAATCCAAGAACAGCCATATTTTAATATGGTCCATCTGTAGCTCATCAAAGCAGGCTCTAAAGAAACAAAGATTTAAAATATATAAAAATAGGCCAACTGCATAAGCAGAGTACTTGCAYTATGTGTCCTAGCAGCATGTTAGTGCACATTTCTGGAACAGAAACATTAAAAGTAGCATATCTCCATGCCCAGACATGTGCACACTAGAGCTGTGTCCAAAGAGACACCAGGATCTTTCAGAATTCAAAGATGTTCTGGACAGGAACGAAACGTGAACATATATATGCCACATAAGTGCTTTAATAGAAGATTATACATATCTGTACAATTAAAAATTCATTATTTCACGGGATACACATCTCCATGAAGACAATTCCCAAACAAAAGGTTTGTTTCTCAGTGGCAAAYAATGCTCATCTCTCTCCACCCTCCTACACAGTGTAAAGAAACCATTTCCACARCCCTCCATCACTTTTGACTCAAACTGATTTCCACATTTTACCACGGAAAAGAAATACTCGAGTTAAATAATCCYGCCCTTCAAGCATCCAGAAGATGCRTTATATGAMTTTAAGAGGCCCCACCATTGCCCRYATCCCTCCCKTCTGTTCTCTCTGGGTGATGGGAAGCCCTCATCCCTGGCAGTGCTTAGGAAGCCTGAGGCAGGGGCCAGGACACAGCTCAGCCACCAGCCGGCAGGTGGCACACAAAGGCCACACCAGCGCTCACGAGGACACAGTACGAGTTACATCCACCTGCTTTTCGACAAAATGGAAAAAAAAAAAGCAACACTGGTAATCTATTCCCAGTGGTGTGCACATCGTATATCCCTAAGGTACATGAACTGTAAATCTTCTAGGCAAGTCACCCAAAAGATACTGCAGGGAGGTAAGAGGGTGATTTACATAGGAAACATAATGACTGAAATGAAAAATACTATTAACTTAAATCCATACCTGCACACCAACATACACCAGTTGTAGAACACGGGTGCTGCAATTACGGTCAGCCAGTTGTAGTACAGATTGCTGGAAGGATCAATCACAAAGACCTCCTTTTTTGGCCTGGAAAGTAACACATGAAGATTTACAGTGGAAATGTAAGCAAGCGACCTGCTGGATCTCCCTCTTCCTGAGGCTGCTCATCTCATCATGGACTCACAGCTGCCTGAAGAGAAAGTATCCATGCAGGCAGCCCAGATGAGACACCAGGCATCCCATCTGAGAAACTCTATCACTTTGTTTGACCCAACTTTGGAAAAAGTAAACAAGAGTGGAAAAAAATCCACAGGTATTCACATCTCCCAGGCTGAACACCACTGCATTCTGCACTAAGCTTCCCACTGGAAAAAAAGTTAGTTGTTAAATCTTTCTTATTATTACTCCGGTTAGAAGGTAACATTTCATTGATAGAGAAAGAGCCTCGCTTTGCAGGCTCATTTTTGATGTTTATTAAATTCTATGACAGAAATTACTGWACAAGCATGCATTTGAACAAGCAGAACGTGTATGTATTCAAATCCATGTCTGTACAAGAATCTCTGTGTGCATATGCACACCCATTGTGTGTGACTAGAGCTGAAATACGTTTTAGTTCATAAAGGCAAATTTCACACATTCACATCCCTGGCTCCTTAAGCCTCGCAACAAGGAAGTGGGGCTAAAGGAAGCACACAGGCCTGGAAGTTAGAGATTTAAAGAACAGAATAGCTAATGGCACAGAGTATGCTCAGAAGTGCCCACCTTCTGCCTGAGGAAGGTTGATATGGAATAGAGAACAACTAGGCATGTAATTAGATGAAATATACATTAGTGGGKTTGAGGTTCACAGCTGCAAAGTTATTTCAACAGTAAAAGTGTGATTTGTGAACTGTATAACAGAGTGCAGAGAATGTGACCGAGCAATGCTTGAATATRTATTTGTGTGACTTCTCCTAATCTCCAAGAATGCAAATACATTAAAATGCGACTATGATTTATTTCATATTTTTGTGTATTTCTGGAATTATCACTGCTGTTGACCAAATATCCAGGTGAYGTTAGTAAAGGAAGCAGCTTTATTCTAAAAAGTATTTACTTTACCATCTTCACTACTGGTTTTAAACCACTTCTAGAAAAACTGGTCATCTCAAAACTGGTGACCATGAGATACTGTCTTTATATGTCAGAGTACACTACCTTGTACATACTAAAAGATTGATTTTCTTTGGCAAAATGTTTTAAAACACTTCTGGCTGCTGCARACCTCAGGCTTTCACTAAATAGCAACAAAAGCCACAAGAGAGTTCTTAGAACAATGGCTTTCTAATCAGAAAAAAATATAAAAGCTTTGATTAATAACGTAAAGATCTTGAGATCAAACAGATTCCATCTGGAATGCTCCCATGCTTATATAGCAGTTGCCACTGTATACATACATATAAAGTTACATACTCCTTAACTGTGAAGTCCACTTAAATGTGTTCTCCTTTTACCTSCCATCATTGTTACTTTTAATCAYGTGTAATACTAAATTGYACTMTATTTGGATCAGTTTTAGGGGAACAAAGCAAGAACAGGATCCATTTCTGTCAAAAGCATTCAAATTACCTCATTTTGTTGCAGAAATACACCATCCCCTAACCAACAGCAAATTTTGGTCATCGGTAGCAATGGACTGCACCATATTAAGTAATTCAATATACCAGCCAGTGAAATAACTAAACTTATGAGCAAACCTTTAATTTTCTGCTTGTAAGATATTTCTACATTATCATTTCTTATGATAAGATAAACCAGACTTCTGGTCTGAATCATTATGGAACCAGACTTTTCTGCTCTGAATCATTACGGAAATTCTGGAATAATGAAAAGTCTGTGCAKCTCTGCAAAGCAGGCTGCTGTCCTAAAGTGTTCTCATAATAAAAAAGTATCTTTATTCAAAGTGACCAGAGACAACTCAATTCCCTTTTCATGACTTACGAAGCTGTTTCTGAAAGATCTGAACATAGGTCTTCAAGATGCAACAACTAGGCCAAGCAGTTGAAATCTTCCCAAAGGGGGAAATACATTAAAAATACATTAAAGGTGTGATAGGCTAAGAATCTGCAGTCTACAGAACAATAACTGTGAAAGTGTTAAAATGAAAAGCGATACCATGTTTTGGAGTGTAGGAGATGTGTTACAAGCACACATTCATTCTTTATACTTACTCTTCCTTTTTTTTATCATCTTTTTTGGCATCTTTTTTGTCATCTTTCTTTTCATCTTTCTTTTCATCTTTCTTTTCATCTTTCTTTTCCTCTTTTTTCTCCTCTTTTTTCTCCTCTTTAACCTCTTTCTTTTCTTCCTTTTTGCTGTACAACATAATGCAAGGCTTAGCAATATTACCAATACTGAAGCAGTTAAGGGAGAGGGTGGAGGTAMAGGAAACTAGACTAGGCTGTACTGGAGGTACAGGAAACTAGACTAGGCTCCAAAAGAGCAGGATGGGGATCCAACTGGAAAAAAGGGTTTACAGGCTGAGACCTCTCACCCTGACACCACCACACCATCACATAAGGTAATGAGCTGGCTGATTCCCTGCACTGGTCACCCACACTTTGTTGACCTTTTCAGACATCAGTGTACCAGGCTGATTTTCAGTAAATGCTTTCAGTTTGATTGACTCTTCAGAACCCAGGCATTTAAAAAGAAACCTATCAAATGATGACAGAATGTGAAATGKCTTAACAAACTGACAACATTCTTTGCACAGCCAAAACCTCATTGTGACTGTCTGAAGCTTTAATGGAAATTATACAAAATAAGGCAGAATCTCCTCTCATGGTTCTTTAAAAACAGCAAAATTTTAATTAATTAACTGCCTCTGGATCTGACTTCTCCCATTCTTATGTTTGTCTGAACAGAAGAGTCTTGAAATATGTTAACTTATGCAGAATAGGCCCACAAATACTTTTCAAACCTTCAGAAAGTCAATGTCTTTCTCAAGATTCTGCCAATACCTAATTTTAAAGCTAGATTTGCTACATGCCTTGGTCAAGAATCATGTGATGTGATATGAAGAACCTTGCTTATTTACACAAGCAGAAAATACATAATCTGAGATCTCTTGTTTTAATTTAAAATGTGTTTAGTCCTGGAAGCAGAATGTGTCCCGTTTAGACAGACCAGCCTAAGAGTGTTCCTCACACTGCAGTGTTATGTGGATAATCATATATAAACAAAACTCCCCACACATAATGTGTGGTTTGAATGAAAGCCATGGATTCCTGCTCCCAYGGGAGACAATAGCAGCTTTCACCCATCAGCAATGAGCACCTGTTCCAGTTCTTACCCTCAGACATTTCCACAGTGATGCAAGACCACAGAGTAATTTGGAAAATCCAAGACTCATTTGCTAAAAAATGCTGAGATCCTACACTCTGCCACATCCAGGGAARTCCAAGCTGACCAAACCTTCAAAACTACACACTGCAAGGGAGCATAACTGGAGGAGAAAAGAACCTTTGGCTTGACTGATCATTTACCAAGGCTGATTCCTACACAACAGTGGGAWCTGCTTCTCAGGAATTTATTTCTCTGTCACTGACTGTCCTGGACTTTATGGCTTCATTTCCCAATCTGCCCCAAAAAACTCCTTGCTGTTTAAAAAAACATGTCAGGACTTCACTGCAGATTACTATGCATGGTGTCTGATCTAAAGGCAAATGCACAGTTGTGTTGTTAGCATTGATGTAGCACCTCAATACCTCAAATGCCTGGCACTCTTACCAGAAAGGCAGAGTTACCAGTAACTAGAATTTTCAGATGGTAGGGCCACTGTACATTTGTGTCTTATGTTATGCAGGGAAAAGCAGCTTGAGACTGAGAATCCATCAAAAAGTCTCAGTGTGGTGAACTTTGGAGGGAACCTTTTCACAATTCCAACTTCCCCCTATTTTTATGTTTTATGAAAAAACATTCTTTCACACAGCAGCTAATGCCCATACTTATTTTTCTCTGACCTGAGATCTCCTACCAATTCATCTGTCAGGTATCTTTCATATGTGAGTTCATGTTGCCTCTGTTCATCTTTCTATTTTGGTAACTCCCARCTTGCACCTACTTGCAGTCTGGCAATGGAAGTCACTCAGGGGAAAGGTTGGCTATAATCCTAGATTTGAAAGCATCATGTACAGTTCCCCAAGACCTGGCACACTTAGGGCTTTAGCATAAAGAAAAGTCCACATTTCTTTTTCTTYACCAGTGACACTAAGTAAACTGGAATCCAGTAACTAATAAAACAGTTTGTGTCTGTCCTCTTTGGCCTCCACACAGCAGCATCTGTGTTGTATTTCTACGCTGTGTGCAGCTTTTAGACTTAGTAAAGTACTTCATCAGCCTTTATGAAAACACTGTCATTGTCTTTGAATGAGTCAAATATTTGCATTTCTCATCTGTCAAGTATTTTGCAAATCAAGTATGTTTCAGACTGCTGGGCAGGTAGACAGACAGTTTTTTGTCTTCATTTAAAAATAATGAAACATTGAAAGGATGAAAGTTTTGCCCAAGGTGCATGAGTCATTGTGAGAAACAGAGAGGCAGAAGTATTTCCATCCTAAYCAGTCCTTTGGGCTCTGTCTAGCAGGCTTGGCTCCAAGCTTATAGCACTTCTTTTATACCAGTCTAAATAAAAATCTGCACATTTCTGTCACTGTTCACTGCACACAGATTTTCCTTTTAAACAAAACTTATGCAAACCAAACCAAAAAGCTGCTTTAGGAACAGGAAGATCTCTTGTTCAGCTGTGTGCACAAACATTTTGCAGTGCCATTTAAAATGTACAATTTAAACTTGCCTATGATAGAACTGAGAAAAACCCCAAGAGTTTTCTAAAAGTATTTCTCACAAAATCAGAAACTGTATTGATTACATTTAATTTTTTTGTTTTCATCTGGAAAGCAATGAAAAAAAAATTACTATTATTATGCGTGAGAACAGATTTGCTGCTGGATACTAAAGAGCAGCTACGTCCTCAGATAGCTGTGGTCTAAGACAAACAAAAACACTGGTGTTGGGTGATTTCAAATTACAGGAGCTCTTCACAATTGTTCAATAAATTTCTGTTTGGTGTAACACTGTGAAATAGCTTGTCAACTCTACAAAAASAGACTCAAAAGGACATCTTTTTCCTCTGACAGAAGTCAGAGTGTCTGTTGCAGTACCAGCCTTATTATGGTGCCTGTCACTCCCTATAAAACAACAGTATCTGCTGAACTGAAACACACACTTTAAAATGATGCACATACAAGTGGGTTTGGTACCCTCATTGGTATCCACTTCTCATTTGACAACCTGAAAKTTTTGGGGCATTTGATTTGCAAAGAGGGACCAGTGTGTTAAAAGAGGAAAAAACACTATCAGAAAATTAATACATGAATCTCATTTAAAAACTGAAAAATTAATGTATCAATTGGTAATGCAGTAAAATCAGCCAGYTGAACCACAGAAAGCAGGGACTAAATGCTTAGTCAAATTCACTTCTGGAGAGGAAAGGGTAACTTCAGACAAAAAGAAGCTCACAGGGAGCACAAAGGATGCTTCTCATACTAGGAAAACTAGATCTTTCTCTATAACAAAACTATATTCTTAGGAGAGGTTCAGGAAGAACTAGTGAGTTTATACTACAAATGTTACTAGGCTGGATAGGGAAAAARAGAAGGTGCTGGTAGTAGAAAGATCTTTGGAAGTTAACAGTACTTACTCTTCATTGGTGTTGTTGCTAAAGTTGACATTGAACCTGGCCAAGGGCCAGTGACTGCAAGCAAGTTAAATAAAACACATTAAAGAGYGTACAGACTGTTGGTATTTCATGCACGTGTTTACCGACATGACAGACTGACTCACGAGCTTCTCACATATGCACTGATAAGATTAGGAAGGTCAMTTTTGACTCCTGTGATAAGCCCCTTTGCATAACTCCTTCAAGGCACCAGCTCCTTTTTGCCATGTGCTTAGCACACACATTTGTGACCACATCTGATKTCTGAAGCTTGTTCTTAGGCCTATTAGTGCATGGCAAGATGCACCTTGCTATTTTTAGTTCTGTACTCATTGGGCTACTGTTTTAAGCTATCTTCAATCCCGTCAAGTCCTCTTCACAGATGCAGTGTCAAGGCTTGTGGATAAGTAATGAGCATACCCACCACTACTGCAGAATTAAGCCTTCATGATATAATAGCTGGGAGTTACTGTTGACCAGCAACAGTGTAAAACTGAGAAGGCAAGGATATTCATTTCAAATAGCCTTGCACAGAGGTTTGTGGGGCCCAGGATCAACACTGTCATCTCTAATGACTTCACATCAGCAATTACTAATGATCCAGACACCTGAGAAATCAGGCAACAGTCTGGCTAATTTAATAAAATGTGCTCTTGAGCTGAACTTCGAAGGAGTAGATCAAGTGAAGATAATAAGACACAACAAATCAAAGTAACCTGTATAATGCACAGACATTCAAAGGTTTTTGCTTTAATCTGAATTACTAGCTGAGATTTTTAAAATAAATTACTTGCTTACCTATCAATCTTTTATTATGCCAAAAAAAAAAAAAAAGCGAGTCTCTGCTTCAAAGCATACCAAAGACTCTGTATGTGCCAATAAATGAAGTCAGCATCCAAAAGATTTTGTAATTTCTGCATCATAATTTTTCTGTAATGTAACCAGATTGACTTCTGAATAGGTATAAAAAAAGCAATGACACATTTTGCACAACTGCTTCTTTAGAGTTCCATAACACTTGCAGATAATGCACATTAAGATCCTGAAAAGCTAAAACTAGCAACATCCCACGTTCTTTAAATAGAAATTCTATTCTCCTCAGTAGAGAGGAGTTCAACAGCATCAAGTTGCACATGATAAAATTCCAATTCTCAGAAATCATTCTGCCCGAAGTAGCATGATCAAAATGCTTTACTTCAATAAATTGGTTATAGTGTGTTTGAGGGGGAAAGAGAAAGTCTGCTGAAAGYGCAATACTTTAGTTACTTGAAGATTCCTGGGCAGCATTAGATACTCCATCTCCCATGTTAAGCTCTTTATCCTCTTCTTAAAATACAACTTGCATCCTAATTGCCAAGAAAACACCATAACCTCAGTYATCTTCACTTGAAGTACAAAAACATCTTCTCACCCGTTTGGTCCCCCGGGCCGCTCACGGGCACCCAGGAAGGAGCGGATGTTGCTTTGCCGGGTAGACACCTCCACGAGCTCYGGCCCTCTGATGCGTTCTAGGAAAGAATCAGGCCTTTGGTCTTCATGGTGTGAGTGTCTTGTGGCCCACGACCTTACAGACAAGACAAACCGTGACAGCCTGCATGGAACACACATACAAAATCGACTGAACCAGAGACAAACATCGGATGGCTTAAAACATTCCCACAAACAACTGACCAGGAGAATTTTTCTCCACATCTCCACCTGTCATGAAATTAAACTTGATGGAGTAACTGTGTAAACCCAGTCATTAGTCACAATTTCATAGATCACCTTCTGCAGTGGATCAGGAAATTACCCCACACATCAGTTCCTATTCTACTGTATCAGCACTGCAGGAGCAGCAGAATACTCTTGCCGAGTGGGGGCTTTTACAACTCCAAGTGAGGTATTCAGTGAAGCCCATCAGATGCAGTTGCCTTAGATCCTTGAGAATTTCCATTCAAGGGTGATGTTATGTTACTGTAATACTTAAACTGCTACGCATTCACGTTTACATCACAAATTTCCCTGTATATGCAGAGCATACATAACTGCAGCTACATACACATGTAATGCAAACCATCCTGAAAASGGGTAAAGGAAACTATAAACTAAGATTAAAAAGGAAGTTCTCAGTACAGATTTATTTATTCATGTGCTTTATGTTTACACAAAACACACAGCTATAATCTTTTTTCATCTAAACTAAACTTCTTGCAGATTTTGTAATCTGCATCTGGTGGTGGCATTATCTGACAACCAAACAGGGAAACACAAGTTTATTCTCCACTATCCAAAAGGTTGAAGTGTAAACAATACTCTTTAAATGACCCCAGTTTTATAATAATATTTTTCTTTGCTCTTTGAAATACACGGTGCTTAAACTAGCTGCGATCTGTGTTGTGTGTAACAATGGTACCTGAAGGCAGAGCCCTGCACTCTCGGATGCAAAGCAGACACAAACTCCACTTCAGGTTTACATTTAAGTCTCAGTAATACAAACAATTTAAGACAATGGTCGGCTTCAATTTTGCTGGCTAAGTCTCCAAATCTATTATAAACATAATTGGATTCTAGAAACTGAGAGAAATTCTTGCACTCAAAACACAAGATCCCRTCTCCTCCCTTGCCAGAGGCATCTACCACAGGGAACCGATCATTATGTTTTATTTGATATGAAACAAACATTGCACCAGCTATCAGCCAGAACCAAACATTTACCCATTTATTTTACAGTCTGGACTCACTTCATGCGTTTCCCCAGATGCAATTATGTAAATAAAAAATATTTGACATATTAGTTTTGGCTTRTTCAGCCTCTCTCAGATTCTAAGATTTTTATTAGCAATAAGTGATGAATCAAGGTCAAATGCAACTTATGTTRCTTCTTATAGATTTTCTACAGCTGGACTCCATCCATTTCCTTTGGAAAGTGACTGCTCTTYCTTCTTTGCCTCCAAATTGTGACCAGTCTCTTTCACCAAATTGAACTGAATACTGGAAACAATATTARTTAGTGTGTTACCTTGCCATTGCTCCCCTGCCAGTGAAGGAGCTCCCCTGGRATTCAGGTGCATGTCTTCCCTCCACAGAAATGACTCCCTGCAGTTCTGATGATGCATCCTCACACAGTGGATGGGTTCTGCAAAAACAATTTTTTTTTTAAGGATTTCAAGAGGTTTTAAAGAATTTTAAGAATTTTTTAAGCCTTCACCAGACTTCCCCCAACTCTGGTTCTCTCCACACTGCATTGGGAAACAGTCCAGCAAATTGTCCTCTCCCTAGTAAATGGCATACATTTGATAACCATATTGCTAAGCTGATGTTCCTATTCTTCTGGAGTCTTCCAATATGAAYTGAAGTCAGTGGAGGCTCCTCCACACATTTCAGCAAGCTCAGAAGGTAARGGCAACTTATTAGCCCTTAAAAAAATAGCATTTGAGAAAAACAGATGAAATTTTAGCCTTGTTTTTCAGTACTGGAGTTTTGAAATTGACTTCATTGCAACCTGGACTTTATGACGGCTCACTCTAGTACTGCTAGGGTTTTCTCTTTTTGTTTCAGTCTTTAGTATTCACTTTTGCAAGACTTCTGCATGTCCATTAAGGATCACTTTTTCCCCACTTTGTAATGTAAACAAGAATTCCCACGAGTCTGTCAATTTGTAATGTCAGGAAAAGACTGACTAAAACRGTACTTGCAGTATCTTCCTAAGAACTGGCAACAGCATTTCTAATGTGCACAAGAGGATAATTAGCAGTTCAATTTTATGGGCACTCACAGCTGAAACTAACAGAGAATTAAAACTTTATTATTCCTACCAAAGAACAATGCAAAAATAGATCCTGACAATCCCAGGATTCTCAACTTGTCAACTGTTTTCTACTTCTCCTCCAATAACAAAACACCAATGGATACCACTTGGTATTGAAAAACTTTTATAACCTAGTTTATGTTGCCAGTGCTGAGAAAATCATGGCTGCCAAAGTTAACATCCTTCTAAGGGAAATGAACAAACTCATGGAACAAACATTCAATACAGATTATCAAATACACAGAGCCCACACTCAGCTCAACAACTCTCAGGAGCTGGACGCTGAGAGAATGGCAGAGTTTGCCCACCTTTCTTACTATTTCCTGGAGAAATTTCCTACAGACCTGCTGGAGAAAGGATACTGGACTAGTTAGTGTTTTAGACTGCACTGCCATGGCTGGTTTTAAGTACTTTCATTTCTGTTTACCGAGTAATGTACATTTTGTGGGATCTTAGCAATAAATTCTAATATTGTTAATGGCAGGGCCTAAGAAGTATCTAAATTCCCATTGYAGCCAATGGCCATCTCAGGGCTTGATTCTCAGCAGCTGCTTCAGAACAGGAGTCTGGTACCATTTGGAACACCTCAGAATACTTTACTGCACCTCTCCAAAGCACACAGGTCTCTCCTCACATCCACTAGAGCCAGCTAAACACTTCAAATACTCTATGGTGTCTCAAATAGCATTAGATGCCTATTTTAGGCAACTAAATACCTCTCACAATCAAGAGAGCCAAAGGAGCCTGAAGAGTTATTGCATTTCAGGGTGAGCTGAGCAGTTCCCTGGCTGCTGCGGACTGTCAGTACTAACTACATCTCCACGCAGTACAGCAGGAATTCAAGCACCTGCTCCCATAAAGACACTGAAATCCAGGTCTCTAAAGGGCATGGCGGAATCCTACTTCCAACTTTTAGATATCTGACCTATCTATAAGCTAATGTGCTGCCTCTCCTATTGGAGAGGCACATTATTGTTTCTATGCAGATGTTGGGTTTTAAAAATGGAGATTCATTTGGATTTTTTGGGGGTTTTTGATTTTTGTTTTAACAAAATAAGCCAACTTTCTAACACACTACAGAGTAAGAATATGGGCATATGAATCACTCCAGCATAAATGAGCACAGCATTTTAAAGATCAGTAGCAGCTTTCTGTTAACTGTTAAAAGTGATTGTTTTTCCTTGGTAACACCTCATTTCACAGCAGAAAAGCACTTAAGCACATCCTTAGAATTAAGCATAAATTTAACACACACTGACTTCAATGAGAACTAAGTAATGAGTTTAACTGCTTTGTTGAACTATAGCYAATAGGAACTGGAAGAAGGTAAAGGCAAAGAAGAAACGCTGTCACTCTAGAAAATCTGGTGCTTTTTTCCCAATGTCTATAGTTGCATATTTTGATACAAGATAGAGAAGAGCCAAAATTCTGGATGGTTTCTATCTTTTGGTACAGACATACTCTAAACCAAATCTGAATTTAAAAAACAAAAACATATCACAAAAWTTTTGAGTGGTATTACAATGATATTGTATATACTCACAAGCAATCACTTCAACAATCCAAGAATCTTAAATATTAGATSTCTTTTACAGTGCAAGAATGTATCTTTTTACTGATCTATGAATTCCTGCAATTAATGCTGATAATATCAAACTTTTTTTTTTAAACAAATGCCTCTTCAAGACCATCATAATGATGATAAAGTACAATTCATATTTCAGTCCCTCTATCTGTCAAAGTCATTGCCTCTGAAATTGTAGATACTGCAGGGATTTAATTCTACATTTAAACCTTTATAACCCCACTCTCACATCCCTGCCAGTAATTCCATTCTGTGAGCTGCCAATCACTGACATCTCCTACAAATGGGACATTAAGAAAAAAGGAAAGGAGGAGGCTCATTTCTATCTGTGTTTTCACTTTTTCTAAGACATCCCTATATGGAGAAAGGGACAGGGTTCTTGTAAGTCTCCCTAAAGAGACCATGGGGAAGTGTAACTACATCAAGCAAGCCTTACTGTGCAGAACAAAARCTGCTTCATTTTCACTACTGCAGGGTCATCTATGTGTCAGAAGGTATCACATAAGCAAAGCAAGAAGAAAAAAAGGACCAATTCAAACAAAGCATCCACAGTAGCTCCTAGGGACATGGAATCCAAAATCACCATAATGCAGGAAGCCCTATCAGCCCATCAGGTGCTCTAGTCTGGGTAGGCATTTGAACAGCAAGAGACAGTCTGACGAGGGCACACAGAAGAGGTGTTTGACCATAACAAGGGAAAAGCAGAAAACTTTTTCCAGCCTTTACGGATGCTATGGAAGATCAGACATCTTTCTGCAGGTCCAGCAGGGTTTGCCCAGAGGACCAACTAGTACTGTAGTACTAGTCTAGAGAAACAACTTGTACTGTGAAAAAGGTAAATGCAAGCTCACTGGCACATTTYACACAGCCACTTTAAAACTATCAAAACCAGAGAAAGTAAAATGTAAAGAAATTATTACATTTCCTCTGTAGAGTGAAAGACTCTGAAAATCCAGTACAAAAATGCTGATGTTCTTTATACACTACAAATGTTCCCTATCACAGGAACTAAGCTACTTCAAACAAAAAAACTTCCCAAGGCTTTTCACTGCATGGTGCTGGAAGGATCCTTTTTTTCACCAAATCCCACATACTCTGTTGGAAGCACAGAGCCTGCTACCTGTGTGGTGATTTTACTGTGCACTGGGTCAACAACTGTGTCATGACACAACATTCCCATAATTTCATTTCCCATTCCCAGAGTCAGAGGAGTTCCACAAATAATGCAGCAATCTGTCCTCTCAACTGTGATGAAAAGAAAACATTACCTGATGTAGCCATTTTCAATCCTTTCGATATCTTCATCAGTAGTTCTGACAGACAGTCTGTGTGTACCAGGGTAGGAATGCTGGGTGTTGATTTTTGCCATTCTGCTTTACATATCAACATCTAAATAACAACTGAAATGGAAAAAAAATTATGAAGGCTGCAAAAAATGTGTGCTGTACTTAAAAAGAGTTTTTTATTAAAACAGTGGAACAACAAAAAGCAATTTCAGCCATTTGAAGAACAGTCAGTGATATTTACTCACGCAAAAGACATGTTTCTTGATGTATTTACAGTAGACAGAAAAGTGTTAGTAAAAGCGTAACAAAGATTCATCGACCAAAGAAAAGGGTTACACGATACCATATTCTTTTTAGTCTCTGGGCTTTATGGATACCTACAGTATCATACTATTATCCATAGTGAAATTGCATTTAAAATCTCATTAAAAGAAGGCTAGAGTTAGAAAGTCAACCAAAAATAGTCAGGTAATACATGTGTTAGAACAACTCATTACACTTTACATTAATCCTTTGTGCTAATTTGATGTATTTTATGATTAAGCTTTGTAATGCAAAAATGCATATGAACCAAGCAGGTAATTAATGACATCCCTCAGCTTAATATAGGCCATGCTATAATTCTATTGTTAAATAGAATAAATAGTTCTCTGCACTAAACACATACTAGGGGTTTTATTACACTGCTTCAAAACAATGTTAAGACATTTAGCAGCTCATCTCCTACAAGTTTTAGGAAACTTACCTGAATTCCTTTCCAGATTTGACCTTTGATGCCTTTCCAAATTCATATTACATCTATCACTTGCAAAACAAGTTTTAAGACTCAAGTGTCTCACAAATGAGAGACTGAAAGACTTTTAGTGAAAGCTTTGAATTTTTWAAAAAGAAAAATTTAAGTTTTGAAACTCCACTGAGGAATCTTTTTTGTTTGAAATATGACAAGAATGAAATTCTCTCAGGATCAATCAACTCCCTCAGACTAGCTGGTGTCCATTTATCACCTGTAATCCTGTGTCTCATTCATCACACAAGATTCACCTTTAACAGCAAATGAAATACAGATGTTTCAGAAACTAACTTTGTSACCTGAATTATTCCTGAAGCAAAGCTCGCTATCCGTGATTAGAACATAACATATCCATTTCCTTAAAAACCAGATACTTGACTTACCCTCCACTCAATTCCCAGACAACTAAAGAAAATAATATACAACTTACAAAGTTATTTAATATATTTAATTTTTTTTCATCCAGAAGTAATGAAATTACTCCAGAAACAGCCCATGGGCATGGCTTAATACCCCAAATTTTCGTTAGTATTTCCCATTACTAATGCTGTCTCAGTGTAAAGCAGTTAATGTCTAACTGCATCTCACCTTAAACTGAGCCTTGTTCATGCTGATTAACTGCATTTTTACTGGGAAAAATGGGCATTTTTATTACACATTGAYATAAAAAACTGAGTTATTTCAACACACTATCAGACTGGAATGTTCACTCAGAAGAACTAAGTCCCGAAGTGCAGATAATTTATGCTAAAAACAAAACTCAGAGTTTAAAAAGCTTGATGGTGGGAAGAATTATTCATAAGACAAGAAACAAAGCATTAACCTTTCTTCCTAAAGATGTAATTTCAGCACAAATTTAGGGTACTGAGTTGAGTTCTTGACTAGTTCTGACACTTTACAGTAACACCAGTTGTGGTGATTCACAATTGGATTGACAGCTACCTACAGCACTTCTTAAAAACAAAGGTTACCTGGTTTATAATCTCTAACGAAGTGAGTAACTGTTAAAATTGTAAAACTGCGAAAACAATAAAAACATGACCTAATAAAGTTTTTCTGAAGTCTTCGGATGATGTAGATAATTTGCTTCCAACAAATTCTCTCACTGAGAACACACGTTGCTTCTCAGACTGGAGATTGGTGAGCAGTGCCTTTCTACGTTTCAAACGCTGAGGGCACATGGATTTCCAGATCTGGCGTTTGTGCATCAGTCCCCGAAAGTTTGGTTAAAAAACATTAAGTACAGTATTTCTTTAAACTTAAAACATAAATGGATGAAACTAGATATTACTAGTCTGGAATGAAACATTTTTAACAGATAATGGAATTAGATATTCCAAGTCTTCTGAAAGGCCTGAGTGTGCCAGTGCAGCACTGAACACAGGAAATAGTTGTACACCTCATTTAGACTTCCAAAAGCTACACCACTGGAGAAAAAAACAAGTCATAGGATATGAAGCCAAACACTATTTTGTATTAAAAACAAGACGGAAAGTAAGAAAAGGRTTAAGCAGTCAGCCTCACCACTGCAGAAATTTAATAACAGTGTTCCTCAGGGATCTGTAGGAAAACCTGTCATTGAATGTCAATGATGCTAATGAAAAGAAGGAATGATGATAGAGGATGGCAAAAAATTCTATACGCAAGAGAAAACAAAAGGAGTGCAGGGAACCTCAAGGTGGCCCACRTCAACTACAGCAATTTCTCAATCTGATGACAAGTTATGTGCAACAGAGACAAATGGAAACCCATGAATACAGGTGAAAAGCAKGTAAACTACTGCCCTACATGCTTCCAAATGAACCACATGCTCTCAGAAATGGAACYTGAAAGGGTAGATTTGGATTAAATTTTAGGAAGAAATTCTTCMCTACAATGGTGTTGAAACACTGGACCATGTTGCCCRGAGGAGCTGTGGATGCCACATCCCTGCAAGTGCTCAGGGCCAGGTTGGATGGGGATTTGAGCAACCARGTCTAGTAGGAGTTAGAACAACATGGACATTATGGTACCTTCCMACCCAAACSATTTATGAACTTATGACATATGTACAGCTAAGTGAAACACCTGCAGGGCAGGCTTGCTGACACAACAACCAGCAATGTACACACAGAACATGTTAATGACACAAAAAACACTAAAACTGCTCCATGGAACAACAGCACAGACTTATCTGGAAGCCCTTCTCTTAAACACAGAAGAGCACACAGAAAAGCAGTATGGCAAGAATGATTAAGGACATAGAAAAGGGAGAGAAATACAGGACTTGCTCACCCTAGAATGGTGAAGAGTATACAGTTAAAAAATAAAAATATGTAGGTGGAATTTCACCTCATTTCAGACCCCTTACAATAATTTCAGCAGTAAATTTCCCATTCAACATACAGTTTGATCTGAACTCTTTTTCTGCACTATACTGGAGGAAAGGAGGGGGGAAAATTTACAGAAATACAACTCTGCTATTAAGCAATAAACTACATTAATATATTTTTGGAAGGAGGTAGGAAGAGTGGATGAGGGTGTGTTACATGTGTCCAGCTGTGGTACAGAGAGACTGAATGCAGGACTGATAAACAGTGCAGTAATTTGGGCACAGTGAGGGTGCTGAGACCTGAAGCCACATGGTTTGGCACTGCATAAAGACCATAAAATTCYGACAAATTACTGGTTATCTGATAAAGTAGAAATAATTGTTCCTTTTAGGCCTCTAAGAATCCAAATGATAAATGTGTTTAATAGACAAGGGAGGAGATCAGCATTTCAACACTGGATCCAAAATCTGGCAAGCAGCTGACTAGGATACAGTTTAACAGGAGTCAGCCAGCAGGAAAATCCTGAAGAGTCCTGAGGCTCCACAAACACCTTTTGCAGGGCCACAGAGAGACAGCTCTAACCATCCCACCTGCCATCCCAAAACTGCCACTAAACACTGGTTCTTTCTTACAAGGCAGTTTTAAAAAGTGAGTAGAGCTCAGCTTCATATGTAAAACTACAATCTTTTGAGTGGTGGGTTGGCCATGGCTGGCTGCCAGATGCCCACCCAGTTGCTCTCTCACTCCCCTCCTCAGYAGCCCAGTGGGAGAAAGTGAGATGAGAAAGGTCAAGGGACAAGGAAAAAACAGGAAGAAAAAAAGGCATTGGAAGACCAACTGTCATCACAGATGAAACAGGCTCAAATCAGGGAAAAGTCAATTTGTTGCAAATTAAAATAGATTTGGATGGTGAGAAACACAGACACCTCTACCACTCAATTTTCCCAGATTCAACTTCACCACTAATTCCCAATTCCTCCACTTCCTCCATCTCCTCCACCCTACCCAGAAGCACAGGGAGTGGGGAATGGGAGGCTGCACTCAGTCCATAATGCTGACACTACTGATACTCCTTTCTCCTCACACAGTGCCTCTGACCCAGTGTGGGTCCTTACTGCAGGCTGCAGTCCTTCACAAAGTGCTCCATGGGTGCACTCCATGGGCTGCATTCCTGCAGGAAAACCTGCTCCAGTATGGGTCCTCCAAGGGTTACAGTTCTTATCAGGAGAAATTGTTCCTGCATAGGCTCCTCTTCACTGCTTGCAATCTGCTTCAGGAATACCTGGCTCCATCAAAGGGTCTGCCACTGTGATGTCTGCCCCATCATGGTCCCTTCTGGGGGTTGCAGGGGAATCTCTGCTTCAGTGCCCAGAACAACACCTCTGCCCTTTCTTTTCTGAGACTGGTTTCTGCAGAGATGGTTTTCACCCTTTTTTCCCCCTCAGTCCCCACACGCTGCCCTTCTGGCATCTTAATTTTCCTTAAATGCTTTTTCCCTGAAGTGCCACTTTGCCATCTTGGCCACATGGRATGAGCTGGAGCTGGCTGGAGCCATCTGTGTCCAGCACAGGCAGCCCTGGCTGCTGCTCACAAAGGGCTCKGCAGCCCCCTGGGCACTGCACCCACCCCACACTGGTATTTGCCTCTTCTAGAAAAGGATCTCCTCCCTAGGAACTACACCCTCTGCTCTGAATATTTGAAACTAGCAATTACATTGAGGGTAACACTTGATTACTTAAAGGCTGACAAGTCTGRTAAATCCAAGTTAGGCAATCAGAACAGGTATTCAGCTCACAAGTGATTTAACAAGAGAAATAGATGGASAGACAGACACATTGTCCTCTGAGCCTCAATCTAGTCACCCAGCAAAATAAAACTGGAATCCCTCCTAGCTCTTGAAAGACTGAATCTTTAAACCAATGCCTTGAGCAGGATTTTAACACACTTTCTCAGCTAGCCTTTTCTTCCCTGCTACCAAATATACTTACCTGAAACAGATGAATAATAATTCCACACTCCAGAATATTGCTTTTCAGTGCCTAAATCACTGAGACTGAAACTACAGCTAAATGAGACAGATGTATTATCCTACCAAAAATATAACAAATTATATACATTAGTGATAGCACTCCCTACTCAAAATGCAAACGTTCATGATCTTTTATTCTCTTCCTTTTGAATTCAATGGCAACTGAGGTTTTGTGTCAAACAATTTAAAATGCACTGTCTGGTACAAAAGAAGTATTTCTAACATRACACCCAGTTGTTTGACAACAAATATGAGTTCAAGTAACATACAAAAACTTGGGATTTACATAAGTATTTCCTAATTTTGAAAATCAGGTTCTTCTTATCTCTTTAGAACTACATTATTAAAGACCTAGAACTAGAGCTACAACAGCTGCAGTACCTAAATTTTAGGAGATGGGCCATGCTGTGGATTTCCTAAGGCAGACATGCAGAAATGCAGAAATGCAGAAATGCAGAAATGCAGAAATGCAGAAGCAGGAATAAGGCACATAGAAGGAAGCTACATATGCGAAATGACTGAAGCTAAAACCAGTGACTGAGAATTCCTGAGCTTCTAACTCCAGGCCAAAAGGGGTGGCACCCAATCCATGGCCATAACTCCAGCCTTTTGCAGGTCTATTCACCCATTTGCAGCAAATTGCACTGCACTGGGCAGCTGCACCTCAAAAACGAGAAACCTTTCAAGCCTGGTTCAAATTAAGCAAACCAAAACCAGGTTTCCTCCTTTTTCCAGAGCCTACTACCAGTAGMTTATGGGATACACTGACACATAACCTTTTCATGGGTTTCCAGTGCTCTGAGAACATATTTTGGCAGCAGGAATGCCTGTTTTCAGCACCCACTGCTATCTGGACACAGTTAAGGCCTCTGAGTAGCATTGTGGCCCCGGTTTCGGACAATTTTGCAGCTTCTCAGCAGGAAAAAAATCGCAACACACAGACACACACTTTAATATTACATATTATAACAAATTCAGGAAGTTGATAGCTATTAACTAAGCCATCAAAGTGAGCTGTGCAGTGTGTCAAAYATCTCTGAAAGAATGGAATTACTGTAGTCTCCCTCTCAAATRCTGAGAGACTTCAGGTTTGGCCACTCTAGCAGATCCCTTTTGGGGCAGAATATGTCAATTCACCCTAACTTAATTCAAAATTGTAAACCAACCAAGAATCAATACATCTGATATAAAGTAAATGTAGTTGTTTATCATGTAATAATGACAGATCAAGTTGTTTATACCACCACTTAGTATTCTTAGAGCTTATTTATTTAGAGTAAAAGGACTACTGAAAGAAAATACGGCAGAATTTTAAACATAGCTTTTCAAAGTGAAACATGTATCACCATCACAAAGTAAAGGATGACTTTATATGTGATTTTATAAGGGATCCTATGTGTCTGTGTAATTGGTAAAGTACCGTTGTTCTTGAAGCTGTCAGCATTTCAATTCTTGCTATGGAAGCAGTGATAAGCTGCTGCATAGGATCACTTACATCATTTTAGTTAAGACACGTTACAAATCCTCACACAGCCTCTCAGGTTCAACCCTGATAAGTCTTTGGGATTTATTCTGGGATTTGACCTCCACCTACATGATCCTTGTTATATCACTTGGTAATAGTWGTAGCTCAGCTGTGCATTATGTATCTTGTGTATGTTACATGTGACAGGCTGCAGCACAATGATCCCACCAGTGCGGGCAACAATGGACATCCAGGACTGGACACTGGAACTTTAAGTAACTACATGACTTGAAGACAAGGTGCAACTTCTTTCTTCAGTGACTTGGAGGTTTGTAAATTAACCTGCAGACTGGACTCTGGCACACTCTTACGGAAATCAGCTTTGTATGAAGGCTATTACATCAAGCCCAGGGAGTCGAAAAAATAATCAGCAGCACCACCCTACCCTCATGAATTCATTACAGTTTAAATCAACAATTCTTAAATTCTAGGACCTCTTTTAAAAGCACACTTTTCAAAATGTATTACTCTCTTCTATCTCATATTGCGTTTTCTATGGTCTAWGAGCCCTGACATCTCCTGAGAATGCACCTGATTTACATGCACAGCCTAGTAGCCTCAGTGCCAAAGATGTCCAATACAGTACCTTTCACAGGTACTTTAGATTCACAAAACACTGCATTATTCATGTCTGTATAATTTATAGTTTTAGAATCAAATGCGCATGATTACCTTTGATCTGTTTCATAGCTGAGTCTCTGGCACCTTGTAGTACCAACATAATCATTGAAATAAACTGAATTATTTGGACTGAGTTTYCCTTCTCTAACTACAAACTATTAGCAACACAGTTAATTTTTCTAAGATCTACAAAAGTTTCTGCAGACCATTTTCTGCAGATGATTTATTTTGTAGATTGGAAACTTTTCAGGAGAAACTAGCTGTGGATATTGAATTTAACACTGCAAATCAAAACACAGTAAATTAAAAATTACAGGCAACTGGACAATTAAGTTACATCGTGTTGTTTCTGTTGCCAGTAAGGGTTAACATGATGCAGGTATCCATGTTTCTATACAGCAAATAAGCTCTGTGCAAGGTTTCTGCAGCCACTGCCTAAAATTCACTGGTTTTGCCAATGTCTCTAATCAGTGCATTCATATATCAAGGTAAGTCTTAAAAGTGAGCACAGCAGGGGCATGAACACAGCTAAAACACAGCAGGTTCACCCTCCTGAATGTGTGTCTATAAAATAAATATGTATGTTTGCACGTGCACGCATGCATAGACATGAACGTTCTCCATTTAAATTCATTCCCTGCCCGCTGTATGTAAACTATCAGAGCCATCCCATCTGGCTGGGGAAGGGAAGGACAAGAGGTAAATTGTGTCACGTTTCACAGGCGAAGAGGATTTAAGAGATGCTAATGAAAAGAGATGGCAACACTGGAGAAGGCTGCAGGACAACGTGCTGAACCGAGATGACTGAGCTTGGGTGCAGATTGGATGACAAAGGCTGGGATACACAGAAGGCAAAGCTGAGAGATGCTGATATGGAAGGATGATGTGTAATTTTTTTAAGCTGATGTGTTCTTCCCTCAAGTCATTCACTACTTGTTTGCTATGATTAATCTCGCTGATTCCACATCCTGACAGTCCCATTATCATCTGCGACATGTATTTTTCTAATCAGATGGTTTTAGCATGCATACTCAATGAAAACAACATGAAAAATACAAGAGGAAAATACCAGAGGAAAAAAAAAAAAAAAGACTGCAGACTGAAGACAAAGTTATGCTATTTCAAAACCTGTAATATCTGAAACTATGCTTTTCTCAGTTGTAATGATGAAGATTACAGATGTTAAATACAACAATCCTCTAACTATTTGCTTTGAATACAATAACTATGAATCTKGAAAACAAAATATAGTTGAAATAAGTAGATCAACAGGTACCAACATTTACATTTCACATTATTTCTTCAGAGATCTAAAGTAATGTTCAGAYCATTTTTCCCTGTCTTCTTTTGACTTTTTCCTCTCGGCAAATGAGGGGACCTTGCATTAGAGAAAGACACTGACTATAGTTATTATTGTATCTTGCACATTCTTAGGCAAACTGGATTTACCTGGATTACACWTACAGGAGGTTTGCAAAAGATGTCATATTGCTAGAACCAAGGTCMATTTATTGGAAGCACCAGGAACCGCTGGAAAATTACTCCTTTCCACTGCTTGCAGTATTTGCTAGCATTTTTTTATATAGGGTTTGACAGCCTCATGCTTACACCACAGGCACCTGACAGTGAAGRAGTTAAGAGATGCATGGATCAAACTGGTAAAATTAAACCTCAGTCAACAAGGGTGGAGTAGGTTCCCTCAGCCCCACTTCTCTAMAGATCTGTGCCCAGAATCCAGTTTAATAGTAAGTTAGATCTCTGCATCAATTAATCAAATTAAAACTTTTCTTTAAAATTAAAGAAATAAACAAAGCTTGCAAGTTACGTTTCCATTTCAAGCTTTTGAGCTAAGGCTTGAAATTGAAGTCCGATGCAGGACATGATGCCACCCTCACGGGCACGACAGAAAGGGAAGCTCATTTGCCTCCTCCTTCAGACTCACCTGCCCACGCTTTCCCCCGCAGCATCCGAACCCCGGCGCTCCGTCCGTCCGTCCGTCCGTCAGTCCGGCTGCCTGGATGCGGGGCCCGGCGTTATCCCTGAGTGCCGCTGGGGCAGCGCTGCCCTTGCCCGGCCCGGACGCGCTCCGGCAGCGCCGGGAGCCCCGGCAGCGCAGCCCGCCCGGCCCGGCGGGGGCGGCGGGGCAGGGCAGGGCCCGCCGAGCCGCCCCTCAGCGCGGCGCGGGCGGATTACGGCCGGAGCCCGAGCGCCTAAGCCCGGCTCACCGGGAAAAGCCGCTCGAAGGGCTTTGCGATCCTGTTAAGTTCTCGGAGAGGATCAAGACGTCAAAGCGGCTCGGCGGCGCCCCGGCACATTTTGTGCCACGCCGAGGAAAGTTGGGAGCCCGCGGCGGGCAGAGCAGAGCACAGCAGGGCAGGGCCGGCCCGCGGCCGCCGGCGGAGCGAGGAACCGCAGCCCCGGGCGGCGACGCGAGAAGCGACGGGACCGTGCGGGGCGGCTGCGGGGCCCTCACGCCCCGGTGCCCGCGGCAGCCGCTGCCCGCGGGGCGGAGCCGGGACCGGGACCGGGCGGGCGCTCATCCCGCCTCACCGGGGCGGGGGCCGCGGCCCCAGCGCCCCCAGCGCCCCCGGGCCGGGCCGGGTCGGGTCCGGCCGCCTCCCGCCGTGCCGCCGGCAGAGTGGGGATGGTCGGCGGCGTTCCCGGCCGCGCTCGGGAGGAGAGCTCGGGGCCAGCAGGGAGAGCCGGCCCCCCCCGCCGCCCTTCCCTCCCACACAGCGCCCGCGGCGCCTTCCCGGGCCGCCGGCGGAGGGGCCGGAGGGAGCGGGGATGGTCAGGACGGCGGGTGGGATGTGCCGCTGGCAGCGGGAAGCGCGTCCCCCTCCGCAGCCGTCGGGGAGCGGATTTCCCGGGCGGCTGTCCCGCTGTCCGTGCGCGTCCTGCCCGCGGGCGATCGTGAGGGGATGGCACCCCACAGCCGCTCCCACCTCTTGATCGTGAGAGGCGCTTCTCGCTCTAGCGAGGTTTCCTCCTCAGCGCTCTGGCCTTYGCTCCCTGACCGCCTTGAGCGTGCTGACACCCATTTTCCTGTGCTGAAGCTCCCTCAATGCTTCCATACTCCCCCGAGCTCCACCTGTTCAGTTGTGATTCTGCTTTTCACAGGTTTCAGAAGAACTGGAAACAAAAGAGTATGTGTGATTCATAAAATGATTATTCAGCTGGAAAATGTCAGCAGAAGCCATGTCATTCCTAACTGAAAGGCTGCTGCATTTTGCTACRTGTCAGTTGAGCTAGATTGAACACAACAGGACATTAGAAATGGAATCAAAGTGCTCGGGTTATTTTGCATAAGAAAGATGAAACACACTGCACAACAAGGACTGGAGGAGAGGAAAAGACCATGGCTGAAACTCTTAAAATCCCATCAGAAACTCGAGGTCTCTGTCTCCTATAGCTATCACATCAGTCTTCAGAGTAACAGGGTTTCTGAGGATCAGAATAGAAAACCTACGAAGGCAGAAAGCRTTTGAAGAGCATCCATTTTCACTTCCCTTCCTGCTGGACTGACCCCTCAGGGGTACTCCAAGCAGCGTTTTGGAAGCACTGATATCAGAGCTACCCAACCAGGTGCGCACCAAGGGCCAGGTTGCTGTTGTCCCTCCAAAGGTTCAAGCCCTGGTTGCCCTCATGTTCTGGTTGCTGTTTGAAGGAAGYCTGTGAAGGGAATGCAGGAAAAAGCTGTGGAGACTTCCAGAAAGTCCCAGATCTGCACAGTAAGGGGATATAAGGCTGAATCAATGAAAATGAATGTCCACATCCAGAATGCATCACTTTCCAAAGTCTGTCATTCAGTGGTACTGATATAAGAAATTTTGGAGGAAAGACATCTTCAAAGTACCTCAAAACCAGTTGCCTAGGAATTGAAGATGACAGGAAAAAAAGAAATACCTTTTTCCATTTTCTGAATTGTTAGGTATAAATTAAAACGTGCTTATTCAGGGAACAAAAATATCGCATCTTTCCCGCATTTTCATAATTTCCATGAMATTTTCTTTCCAAGTTTAGTTCTTGCTTCATTTGTGCGATCATTAAGCCAGTCCCCTGAGAGCTAYCAACAAGCAGGTTCAACCTGCTGACAGCTGCAAGATATCATCCATCAAAATTGTTATATTCATCAAGATGATTTATTTCAATGGACTAAAGTTATTTGTTTCAGATAGACACCTTTTTAAAACACAAYCACGAATTACCATGTCTAATTTCAACAAAGTATTTTTCAGTTTTATATGAAAATTAAAGATTAATTTTGTTCCACTCTGTCTGCAATTAAGTAAAGCATCCATAATACTTTGTGACTTGAAATTATAATTAATAAGAAAGGGAAAATCTGGAGTTCAAATTAGAAAAGAGAGAGGGAGAAGAAAAAGAAAGAAAAAGCAACTCCTTCTGTTAGTCTTTCACACCTTGGTCCTCAGCTACCTGATTATTAAACACAGTCTTCTGCATATGTGTCTCAGTTTATTCTTTTCCAGCTTACTTTCAGCTTGTAAGTGAAACTCCTCAGTTGGACTATCAGTCCATTTTCCAAATGGTTCTTTTTGATGTTTTTTTTTTCTTCTTTTGTGTCATGAGCTTCTCATATTTACTCTCAAGGCCCTGTTCATCTGTGCCCATCTACTTTTCTCTCATGTTTTCTTGGTTTGTTTTTTTTTTGTACCGAGAATTCTGTTTTTTAGAGTTTTAGGCTGAATTCACTATATAGCTAGTTTATCATCACTTTAATAAAATTGGAGCACAGTTGCCAATACCCACTTTAGACTTTCACACTTTATTTTGAAGTCCAGGAAAATGCTAACATTTAAGTAATAACCAATCAGTGCCTTTTCTGTCTAGAAACACATTTTATTATATACAAGGCCTCTGCAGCTGTTTTGGGTTGTCCCAGGCTGGACGTCAGGTGCCTACGTGAGTGGCACAGGGAATGGGGRCTATGGTCAGTTTGTCACATATTGCCTCTGCTGYTCTTTCCRTCTTCCATTCACTCCTGCTCCAGCGCGGGGTCTCTCCCACAGGAGACAGTTGTCCACAAACTTCTCTGATGTGAATCCCTCCTCCCTCCCACAGTTGTTCATGATCACTTGCTGGAAGATAATGCTGCAGTGTCCTCTTGCATCCAGCAGCAGGAGAGCCTTTTGAGGAGTGTCTGATCTGTGAGGCAAAAAGTAGATCTGAGAAGTGGGTAAAGCCAGCTAGAGTGACCTAYTCTGTAAATCTGCCCTGCTCTCTGCTGCTGTGGGCTCAGAACATTGACCCGGAGTTCAGTTTTACTGATTTCACTGAGCAGTCAGGCTTTGAGCTGGAAGCAGGCATTGTGTCAGAGGTTTCCTTCCACATCTTGAGGTCAATTGCTGTCATTTGGCATYTGAGCATAAACCCCAGTTGTTCACTCAGCTGAGGCAGCATCGCTCACAGAGCAAAATACAGAGAGAGCCAGGCCCTGCAGGGAATACGGTCAATAGCCAAAGGGGAAGTTCTACACATAAGCAACTTTTGTTGTCAAACGGAAGTGCTTAGTGTCATTGCTAGAAGTCCCCTTCTGAATAGGTGATTGATGATAACATATGTGGACATTAAGCATATGTTTCAGCCTRGAGAAGAGGAAATAGAGTGGAGACCTCATTTCAGTCTACAGCGTCCTCATGAGGGCAGGAAGAGGACAAGTGCTGATCTCTCTGGTGGCCTGTGATAGGACTCAGGTCAATGGCCTGGAATTGCATCAGGGAAGGTTTATATTGGGTATTAAGAAAAGATTCYTCACCCAGAGGGYGGTTGGGCACTGGAACAGGCTCTCCAGGGAAGTGGTCACAGCACCAGCCTGACAGAGCTCAAGAAGCATTTGGACAGTACCCTCAGGGACATGGAGTGATTCTTGGGGCTCTTCTGTGCAGGGCCAGGAGTGGGACTTCCRTGAAAATTGTGGGTCCCTTCCAGCTCAGGATATTCTATGATTCCATATACTGATGTTATCCAAAGAGGGGAAAAGCATCCTTTCACTGCAGTGAACTGCAAGTTCGCAGTTGCTCTAAACTGTTTTAGGTCCCRGGTAATCAATGGAGTTTAGTTTATTTGCAGTACCCATGGTTTTGGCTACACAGCTCTGTTTTGAGGGGCACTGACATTATTCTGATAGTCCTCTCAACACTGCTGTACTCTGCAATAAAGCACTGCCAAGATGCATGACAAAAGAATAGGGCTTAATAAATAAATAAATAGAGGGAAGTGTTGTAAAACCTCATTTTATTCAAATTGAGAAATCATAATTTCCTGTTTGCATTGCAGCTCTGCCCCATTTCTTCTGATTGTTCCACTTCAGAGGAATTAAATGAACAAAGATCTGTGAAATAATTGGACTGAATTGCCAACCTTGAGAGAAACTCATTTGTTTTCCTTCCCAAGAGAAACAGTGATTAAATCTGCCTTAGAAAGCCATTTGCGTTTGAACAGTGTGAGYTGTGATTTGGAGAGGATCTGCGGAACTGGAGCTCCACTAAACAAAACTGTGATGTTAACATGTGCAAATGTGAGACAAAAAGGTTCATAAGAYAGAATAAACAGAAACAAAGAATAGAAGCATCCAAATGAGGCATGTGAAATCCACGTCACAGGTATTTTCACAGTGCTGGAACAGCCTGACCCTGTGAGGGACTGACTACTGTAGGAAACTGAGCATGGCCAAGCTGTTTTCATAAACCAGCCCCAACAGAGCCAGGGATGTCCTGATAAATAAAATCAAAAGGGCAAACATACCTCTTTAGTGTTCTACCCTGTAATCTCTGTGTTGTCCTAATTRTAAATGAATGAGCTCTATTTTATCTTACTCTGCATCACTGTGGTGAGGTACAACAAGTAAAGGGAAAAGGCAGGACTCTGCTATTCCTTTTTTAACCAAATAAATGGCCTTTTACCTGGCTTGAGTAAAAACAAATCCTGAATGCAAAGCAGTTGCTGTGTCTCTTCGAAAACACTGAAAAGCATCCCACACGTTTTGGTGTAACAGGATTGAGTCATACCGAATTGTTACATACACAAAAGCTTTAAAATCCACCTAAAGCCAGTCATTTTTTCCAAGCAAAATCAC